AACGCACATCGGGACCGAGTGCAATGTTCCCGATGTGGAGACCCGCTCTGTCACTTACACACATTCAGAAGTCGGACGGCGATTCTTCATCGTCACGTAGTCGTAGGTGAGGCGACGGCCTTGGCGGACGCCCCGACTAGCCGCACAGTCCGTCCGCTTCGGTGGATGATCTGGGCCCGTTTCCTCGCCTCGTGTCTGACTGGACTCCCTGCTTGGTCTCCCTGCTAGGTCTCCCTGACTGACCATGTGAGTCCTGTTTTATGCATAGGGACATTACGCCACGTTGTGCAAGGTCACTAACCTGTGCACATGTACATACGTAAGATGCGCCGACGTGGGGAGATGTTAATTGACATTTTCTGATGGCATTGAGAATTAAGGGTCCTGCCCTGAGGGGGGTTTATGATAAAAGGGCTACACCGAATGATTGCTGAATTTCGGTGCACTTTGGATATATATGGAAACAATTATGTTGTTTGAATATATGAAGTTTTACAGAAACTATGACAATATCTACAAGATCGAGGTGCAGTGAAATTGTTTTTAACGTACAAACTGAAACTTGAAATTTGAATATGACCTCGACACGCTTACTATAAACATTTTCCAAACTAACTAACTAGTAAATGTTACAACTATGATCGGGCGGTGAGGTAGCCTAGTGGTTAAAGCGTTCGCTCGTCACTCCGAAGACCCGGCTTCCATTCCCCACATGGGTACAATGTGTGAAGCCCATTTCTGGTATCCCTCGCCGTGATATTGCTGGAATATTGCTAAAAGAGGCGTAAAACTCACTCACTCACTATAACTATGATCAAACCATTTTGTTAATAAGGTCGTATAGCGCACTTTGGAATTACTAAAAAGTACCTTCATCCACATTGTAAAACTGTGTGTTCAGAAAATCAACATATACAAGACATCTTTAGGTATATGCGTGTTTTGCCATGCGTTTACATACTGAAAGGATTGCACATACAATCGGATGTGTTTAGGGATGAAATAAGCTGTCGTCTTACAGCATGAATGTCACCTAAACACCACCTTACTAAACATGCTTCGAATTATACAGACTCGTGCAAATTATGTTCGGACACTTGACGTAATTTCCATAGACTAACACGTTATTTCAGTGTATTATAAATAATTTTCATGAAGTGAGTTTAGGATAGATCTTTGTAAAATTTGACAGGCAAATGTGAAATCATCTCTGCTCTGCGCACGTAATTTCAGTGCGGTCTTCCGACCACTGTTTAACTAATGACATCACATTTATCAACTTACGTATGGTTCCACAATGCCCAATCCAAAAGGCCGCCATGTTAAAGAAGTTCACGGCATTGTACATATGTTGATTAAATTGTTGCCATTCGATAAATAAGCAACGGAAAATTAAACAGAAATTATGGGATCGTAGATTAGATGGTTCCTCACAAATGTGCAAAATTCGACTTAGATCTTACGAAAATTAAATTAATGATAATTATTTATGCTGCACTGAATTAACAGGTACGTCTATGGAAATTACGCCAAGTGTCCGAATATAACTGGCACGGGTCTGTACATGCACATACATGTTTGGAGCTTACCACCGTTCGACGTACGCTGAACACGTTCAAGGCAAAACAGTATTAAACGGGTTAACGTTTTAACCCAACACGTGTCACAATAATGGGACGGCTTAGGTGTGTGTCAAGGATGCCTACGTTTAGAGAGTACCGAAATCGTCATGGATTGTGATGATGTAATTATTATCAAAAAGAGGGTTTATTTGTTGTTTAACGCCGCACTCAGCAATATTCCAGCTATATGGCGGCGGTCTGTAAATAATCAAGTCTGGACCAGACAATTCAGTGATCACCAGTATGAACATCGATCTACACCAACTGGAATACGATGACATGTGTCAACCAAGTCAGCGAGCCTGACCACCTGATCCCGTTAGTCGGCATGGGTTGCTGAAGATCAATTCAAACCCGGATCTTCACAGGTGAAAGGAGGGTTGGTAGGGAATCGAGTACCATGATCAGAGGAACCAAGGTCATCGCTTTTTTTGGCAAGCCAAACGTTCGAGCCGGAGTTGAGAATTAGACGTCTTTAAGTGCAGCTGAAACTGGCCATTTTTTATCCTTCATCTTACTACAAATAGGAAGATGTCAACGCCAGAGAATATCAACCGAAACATGAGTCTCATTAACCTATTCAAACAATGACCTACTTTTCAGCCGATCCGAATTTTCTCGTGTGAAAGTGAAAGGACACACCACAAACAACTATGGTTACACTGAATTCCAATTTCTTGTTTCATAAGAAAATGGCATTTACAAGTTGATTTTAATTTTAAACTTTAATAACATCGTATTTCTATATTTTATGGCGAGGTGTAGGCAGCATGACCTTAACGAAGACGTCACAATTCCCCTATTTGATGAGGTCGTAAAATAATTCACAATTCATCTATTCATCTGGCTCACTGGTTCCACCTATTATGTGTTTTTTGCGCACATTTAGTGTAGTTTTGTAACGCACAAGGTGATTGATATAATATCAAGTCCGTACCAGACCGCCAAACATTTCTAGCGGCAGAGCCTCGTTTTGAGATTTGCACGATTTCCAGATTTCAGACGTGTCAGAGCACGCAGCACGACCTGTTAGCAAGGATTGGAAGGAGCTTAGTGTTGCAATATGCAAGTGGTTATTAGATTTATCAAATAATACTGATTAATATTTATGTATCCAGTTGAATGAACTGGTCTCAAAATTCTGGACTGGTTATTCTACTAAGTTGCGCAGTAGGACGGAACCCAGTCAGCAGGGAATGACTTGATACAGCGTCGATTATCACTGGGCGTAAAATCAAAATAGTGAGGGAAATTGCATGATGGTGAAATTGGCGATAACACCAGGTGTTCACGAAAAGGGTAAGCATGTCTGCCGTATCAAACATTTTAGGGTAGGTAGTTTTTATTTAATGTCTCGTCCTGAACATGCAAGCAAACAAATATCCCATAAGCTGGTTAAAGGAACTGAGATCTTCCTGTCTTGATTTACCCTTTTACCTTTTTATTGTACTTGTATTACTATATTTACCATGGATGGTGTTTTTCACTGAAACTAATAAAAGAATATAAAATCCCTGCTCTTTCACTACTCGCAGACTTTACGGACGATTTGTAAAGTGACAGGGTGAATCCAGCAGTTCAGTCACTTTACAAACTGACCTTACTCAGACATTTACTTTACATTCAGACAGTTTAATGACCCCGATTGTTTTCCGTACTTTTGGTCCGCCTACCATGGCAGATTTGGTCGCCTCCCGCAGCGAGCTCCCTGTCATCATGCACCGGTGAGTAATTTATTCAGCATCATCCCACTTTGACCACAATGACAGATGGGACAATATTAAATACTATCAAGCACATTAAGATAAATGTCACACTCGTTTCATTGTCACAACTCGGCCGATTCTGGCGGGATGGGTGCAATCACTATTGCCGAGAATCGTCATGGCGACCGGAAATAGAGTACCGAGGAACCAAGGTCTTACAGAACTGTATATACCATTGAAATTGAATAACATTAAATATTCTTTCATCCCAACAAGTTCGTTACATTTACTGACCGTATTGATGTACTGAATTCTAAAATGAAATATACCCGCGAAGATCCGGGTTCGAATCCGTCTTTAGCAACACACACAAACAACTCAACAGTAAAATGAACAGTGCATTATTAAAATCTCAAACACTCCAGGAACCAGTGGTCGTGGATTCGAATCCAGGTTCGTCCAGGTTTGTTTCTATGTTTCTCAGCATCCTGACCTTGTTCAGCAGAGTGGGAAACGTCTCAGACCTTCCTGGCATCCTTCCAACATTTAAGCTGACTCGCCATATAACTCCAACACTGTTCAAAGGTGCACTAAGACCCAACTCTCTCTCACACACATCACAACTCATATATATCTTTTAAACACAAAACGTAGCATGCATCCGAATTTAGAAATGAATAACGTCGTCATGCCAACCAGAAATGGTGCTACCGGGTATCCATATGTTGAAAGTCGTATTTGTGAATATGTATCATAGGTACCTAAATGGCAACCAAACGTTGATATGAAACAAATGGACTCTTTTTCGAATTCCAGAAAGGGCTGGCGAAAGGTGAAATATTGTGGTTCGTGGACGGTGAGACCGTTTAATCCTGCCGTTGAAGTTAAATCTGTATTGATATCGGGAGATTATGAACGAATGGCATAATGAAAAATGATTTAAAATATAGATATAGGTATAGAAAATACATGCAACTCTGGTCCCGTGAAGATCCGGGTTAGAAGTGATCTTCAGCAACCCTTGTTTGTCGTAAGAGGTGACTAACGGGATCGGGTGGTCATGCTCGCTGACTCGGTTGACACATGTTACCGTATCCCGATTGCGTGGATCGATGCTCAATCACTGGGTTGTCTGGTCCAGACTCGATTATATTCAGACCGCCGCCACATAGCTGGAATATTGCTGAGAGCGGCGTGAAACAACAAACAAACAATAAAGTACGCTGGTTTTCCTTGTCCAAACTCGCTTAGTTACATGTTACAGTTGGACTGGTGATTACATATGAACGATCACTCCTCACTCACTCACTCACTCTGGACATATATCCAACTGCATAGCCTTTAGACAGATCGCTGCACATAGGAATGATCGCAATGCGCTTTACTGACAAACCAGGTCTGTAAAATCGGAACAAGCAGTTAGAGTGTTCAAAACACATTATGCATTACATGACACACATACAATCTGCACGTCAGTCCCAGCGGATGTAACCGTTGAACACTCGCACAGTAAAATGCAGATAGCTTGCATATTTCACAGTTGGAACACATCGGTATTTTCCGACACGTCGGTAGTGTAACCAAATACCGCAATACCACGGGATCTACCGATCAGTTCTGAATGTAGCCTGCATTCGGCATGACATTATGGTGATGTACCCTGTGTTGACCTTTGACCTATATGATGGAAATGGGAATCGAGGGAGATGTCAAAGTGCACTCCGAGAGAGAACATCCTGGCAAAGTGTGGAGGTATGGCCCTTCTACCCCACGTGAGTACAGCATACATATATCGCCGCACTGAATGTGCAAGCATGCATAAGAATGATAGAATTATTTGTAACTTAATAACGTTTAAGATCTATAACATCCGTGTTTTTTACAAAATGAATCAGTTTTCTTCTCTAACGTCAGTTTGCTCCAAATCCAGACCAAACATGCTATTTTTACTATTGTTCTAGGTTCGCGTGAACGTAGATGTGCAATCTGTACAAACTTAGATCGATCTAAACTGTCGTGATGTATCGTGCGAATTACATCTGTCAACTGTTAATGTACTGGATATATTGTTGTACGAAATAGAGCCAATTCCTCCCGCCTCAGAACTTTGGAATAAACCGTAAATTGTCAGAGAAGACAAAAATAGAAGCAAGGGCATGCAGCAATGATAATTTCATTTCCAGAAAACAAACTTTGTAAACAAAATACATTTACTTCTCTCTAGGTCCTATCATTCCTTCATTATAAGCTGACGGATATAATTATATATAAATCGGATATAATGTGGTGTTTAGCTTTCTCTCACAACTTGTGTCCAACAATACAAAAAATCTGGACATATGGTTTCATAAACATGTTATTTTAGTTGCATATTAGTATTTCATGGAGTAGAATATACTCTTGACCCCTGTGTTTGATCCCGCCTCCAGCTCATCTTTTTATAACGTGCCGGGGGTACACCGGCATGCTGAGTTAATGTCATCCACATGCATCCTGAGGGGGGTTGGGAAGGCAGGGGAGGGGTCGCATGTTTGGGGGAGCCACTACATTCCCCAGCTAATCAGTGGAGGTACAGGCTGAAGGGTTCTCGTTCACCGTGGCTGCCTACTTGATATATGGGCTGAAGGTCTTGCTTGCACGTGCGAACACTGGAACCGGTACCGATTTCCCCACGATAAGGTTCACCAGATCATGTCCAGATTCCAAACTTACCCCTGGTCAGGCAATAGTACACGACACTAACCTTGGTTCCGCGATATAACGAGGACAATACAGGTTCAGTGCATACACGTACCAGTTTTAACACACCAATATTATGGCCAATATATGAAATTTCTTTTAAATATGTGAGGTTAAATTGCATTTTAAACGAAGTCGACCAGAACAAAGATGTTTCATTTTCAAAGCTATATTTTTTAAGATTTCACTGAACCAGTATATCTTTAAATCCTGGAACTAGAAATTTAGCAACGGCATTGCAGACATGTACCATTGTAGCGGCACCGAGTCATATGTTGTCTTAATAAGGTCTGAACTGACTGAATTTAGTTTTACGCCGCTTTTAGCAATATTCCAGCAATATCACGGCGGGGGACACCAGAAATGGGCATCACACATTGTGCCCCCATAAGTTGGTTAAAGGAACTGAGATCTTCCTGTCTTGATTTACCCTTTTACCTTGTTATTGTACTTGTATTACAATAAGGTCTGACAGAGAACTGTGGAAATCTGGAAGCAAACCTTTGACGATGTCTGACATCAGTCCAAGAAATAAAGTTATTTTTTCAAATATACAGCCTTTCAAAAGTTTAGACCTACTTAAAATCACTCACTATATGTTATGTTCTGTATGTGTATGTGTGTGGGGGTGGGGGTGGAGGTTACATCGAAGATACATTTCTCCACAAACTTGGGGGAACCAACTGCAAACCTCATGCAAATGAATTGAACGAGGATCATGCATCAAATTGCTGAATAGCATATACAAATATCGTGCATGTGAACAACTGCGTTTTGGTGTAAAGTTTTGTTAAGAATCGCCAAGTTTTACTGATTTTTATCATTTATTGAACTCATGACAATAATCTTTTCAACGTTACGAATTTGTTTTACAAGACATCAGGTCATGTGTAAACACCTTTAAACAATATGGAATATTTTGCAAACTTTAGTTCAGAACAGTTGCCTGAAGCAACTGGTCATATTTAAACTAGTGAGTCTAAACTTTTGAAAGGAAGTATAGTTAAAAAGATAATTATCTACAAAACAGTTCAAAATTGCTCCCACAACAACCCTTAAAATCTCACTACAGTTGAGGCAATGTAAACTTACGTAGGACTCTAATTTATGAAGTGGGTACCATATATCAATGTACGGGTCAGGAGACAAAGTGTAATATCTCAAGTCACAGTCAGCAGTACAAAGTCCCAGATATTCATCCCAAGCATCTAATTCTAAATGAATATTGATAACAACCAAAGTAATTAATTGGCCCAAAAGATAGTGAGTAATTTAGTTAGACAGTGCTTACAACCCCACCAAGACGCTTCAGAATAAATTACAAAACGAATCCAACTCATGTCTAGAGTGATTTTCATGTCAAGCTTGCCTTTTGTATTTAGTGTATCTATATTTTTAAATTAAGGTTATTTTTAATTTTTATTTTTTAAACTAAATGTTAGTCTAATCCCACCCAAGTGTCTTGGAAAGTGAATATTGTCAGGAACAAAAAATAAGAAATATTCTTTAATATATATACTATCCCACAAAAGAAAGGCATAGACACTTGGTATTTTTAAACATCTGTTGATTTCCTATTATGTTCAAACAATCGTCAATATATCTAACAAAAGTGTTCATAACATGATTTTACACAATTGTACAAGTAAAGAATCGACTGGACCTGAAAATGATTTTGATGAGATTTTTTACAAGGATTAAAACGGCATCGCCACAAAGCAACAGAAATCACCTTCCAGTTGAAATTGTGCAGCAAAGAGCATGCACTGTCTGGTTATACAAATCCTGATTACTTTCGGAAATTGGCATTCATTTTGAAGGAGTTTCAAGGTCAAATAACTACGCCACGTCTTGATGCTGCGACACGGAACATCGCCATTGAAAGAATGCACGCTGGAGATTACCAATCTTCTGTTGCCAGGCGTCTGAATGTTAGTCTGAGCACGATAACACGGTTTGCAGCTCGTTACAACCAAACAGGTATAACAAATGACCCTCCCCGTACAGGCAGAACTCGAGTAACCACTGCAGATCAAGATCGGTACATCCGGGTACTACATTTGCGTGATCGTACTGCCACGGGTGCCTGGACTTCGGAGGATATCCGGTCAAACGGTACGGAACAGGTTGAGAGAGATTGGACTAAAAAGCCAGGAGACCCGACGTCGGGACCGTGGTACGAAGTCGCCATCGCGCTCAACGTCTCCGTTATCTAAAATTATCCACTTGGTTGTATAGACATTTCCTTCTTCTAACGTGATGTAAAAATTCACGTACTAAAGTCTGTTTGTGGAAGAGTTATACATGTTAGAAAATACAACATTTTCGCAACAGATTTCTGGGTTATGCGTTTCTTTTTTTAATAATATTATATAATATATTATCATCTAGTTTGACTCCCTACATTGATAAAATATGAGAATCCGATTTCCGTGTCCAATGAATGTTGTAGGTGGATACCCCTATTGGCATGTCGTTAATGGGCGGTAATTTGGGTTCGAAGCCAAGACCTACGGATCCTGAAACAAACAAGGGACGTAACTCAAATGTAACTGTGGTGGACGAGCTGTAGACTACGCGTAGTCCCTGGAAATATATATTCTTGATGGGAACAGTTGACTCATTTTAACTGAAAAGGAGCCCAAGTGAGATGGGAGATTCAGAGGGCAATCTAGACTTGCTTCATATAGGGCATTTGCATTGCAGAAAGGACGGGCGGAAGGGAAAATAGTGTATTTAAGGGACACCGAGACAGACAAACGGAGTTGAGGCGGGGTGATTTATGCAATTTAGATAGCGGTGTGTACACTGGATCGGAAAATGTATTACACCCCCTGTATTTTGGCAGTGATAGGTTTTCAACACGTACATAACACTTCTCGTGGTGACCACGATGGAAAAACGTGAGTTTGTCTGACCCGTATGATTCTCACAACAAAAACGACGAAATGATTGCAATCCATGTTGACTTTATGATGATAATTGCTCATCTAAAAAACAACGGATTTTCATACAAAACCATGTCTGTATAAGTATGGCCCCGAAATGTTAAATTTTGTTGCCTCCACGTGACTTTATGACAGCACTCTCCTCCTCATACCCCTGTCAGCCTCCTGACTCCTAAAGGGGCAGTCTACGCCATTCCTCGTTTAGTAAAGCAGCCACATTCCAATTGGGCCAAGCCCTTCTGTAAAGCCCTAAATAAAGATGATCCCTTTGTTGCACTCCCTACGACGACCAATCATGTCCCAGATATCAAAATGTATGATCCAAAGGGTTAGAATCGGGATGATCATTCAATCGTAAGATATGTATGCTCCAGGGTTAGAAGGTGCTTCACTAAATTCTTTGTGTATATTTCCACGGAAACAAACAGTTTTATTAAAATTGAAAAGGAGCCCTACTCTGACTGGAGATTCAGACCTGTGGAGATGATCTAAACTTGCTTCATTTAAAGCTTTAGCGTTACATTGGGGACTAGGCGGATAGGAAAATAACATGACATGGTTCAGGGACTTCTCGAAACCATCTATGGCATTTTTGCTCTCCAGGTCACCGTCGTCATCGTCGCATGGCTCAGCGTCAGCGTCATTTCCGATGTACATGGTAAGTTAAGAATACATAATGCCATTTCGACTGTGGTAATATGTAGCATATTTTAGTACTTTTGTTGGGTTGAGTCCCATCCGGGATTAGAACACACACTCTGGAAGTCAGGCAGCTAATCGCCAGCACACAAAATCAGGCCATCGCTGGCGATTAGCTGACTCTGTGAATGTGGGTTCCAAGCCCGTTGGGACAACGCTCGGGACGGTTAGGTAGCCTAGTGGTTAAAGCGTTCGTGGTCGATTCCCCGGGTTCGATTCCCCACATGGGTACAATGTGGGAAGAACATTTCTGGTGTCCCTCGCCGTGATATTGCTGGAATATTGCAAAAAGCGGCGTAAAACTAAATTCCACACTCACTCATTCACTCATTCAAGCAGAAGTATGCCGGCCTTTAAATGCAAGCCACAAAACAATCATGAGAATTGATCGCCAAACGAGAGGCCATCGTGCGATTCAGAATAGATCCTACCCCTCTGATGACACATGTCACAAACACATGCAAGGGGAAGTCAATCACCTTTGCGTGGCTCACAATATCAACCGCTGGTATGTCTGGTCCAGTTTAATTACAGAATGTCACGATGTAGCTAGAACATCGTTGAGTGTTCAACAACAGCCAGAAAAACAAACAACAATCCATGAACAACACACATGTCATCTATAAAGTGGTCAAATGTAACACATGTTATATTTAGGATTACACTTTATCATACACTTGCACAAGTCTCTAAGGTAATAATTAATAGTTTAAATGGTAATTTCCAAAAATATGAATAACAGGCTGGGGCCCTGTCCGCTTATCTAGTCTTGCCTCATTAAAGGATAGCATTACTATGTATGCATGGGCTTAGCAACGTTAGTACAACCTTTGAGCCACACGGGCGTGTCACGCTTAGAAACAGCGTTAGAAAGACATATAGGTATATAGACCCTACCCTAGTACTATATAATAGGAAAGGGATGTAACGACGGAACCACCCCCTCCTCAATCAAAGTTAGATTTCACCACGTAAACTATTTTTAAGGCCTACGGATCGAAAGCGAGATGATTTCCCTACAAAATGAGCTATAAATGGTCACAATCGGATCATTATTTCAAAAGTTATACGCCATGACTCACCGAAAATAGCTACCTCCGCAATTCCAAGCCAAAATCATGGATCACCCAAGACAGCGAAAGCTCACCTTTTAAATTCGTTTATTAATTCCAGCCACGTTGACAACACCTATGTAGGGCTAGATTCAATCGGCTGCGGCATTCCACGGGTCTAAAAACTTATTGCAACATCTACAAATCATTTCCTCGACAGTAAGCAGGCATTTTCTCCAAAACCATCGGCAATCATACTCACTTGTCGGCCATAGATGGCCTTGACATTCATATAACTTTTGAAATAATGATCCGATTGTGACCATTTATAGCTCATTTTGTAGGGAAATCATCTCGCTTTCGATCCGTAGGCCTCGACGGGCCTTTCAAAATAGTTTACGTGGTGAAATCTAACTTTGATTGAGGAGGGGGTGGTTCCCTTTCCTTTTATATAGTACTAGGGTAGGGTCTATATACCTATATGTCTTTCTAACGCTGTTTCTAAGCGTGACACACCCCTGTGCTTAAGAGCAAGGCTAACTTTCTCAGTAAATTATAGATTCTTGTACTTTTGTTGGGTTGAGTCCCATCTCAGAGTCAGGTAATAATCTTGTTTGAGAAGTTACAAATTTCCAAGACATCATCATCATCATCATCATCATTTATATAAATATTTGTATCATCATCATTATTTTTATTGTAAATTCATTCCAGGATCTGATGATGGTCCCTTGGTCGGACTGAAACAGGGCAAGTACCGGGGTAACTACGTGACGTCGACAAATGGCGAATATGTCGCCGAGTATCTGGGCATTCCCTTCGCCGAGCCGCCGACCGGGGACTTGCGACTGGCGAACCCCAAGCCTCGCACGCCAAACCCAGGTGAGTGAGTGAGTGAGTGAGTGAGTGAGTGAGTGAGTGAGAGTGAGTGAGTGTGAGAGTGAGTGAGTGAGTGAGTGAGTGAGTGAGTGAGTAAGTGAGTGAGTGACACTGATGCTTGCTGGGATGAAGGAATTTCGAGCCCTGTTTGTTCTGAATATCGGCGTGCGCAGTCGTCGGCCAGAAGGAAGAAGTAGAAATTCAGGAAATAGGACATGAGTGCTGTCATTTAAAATTTTACGTGCTTTCTTTTCAATTTTCTGCTTGTAAATAGTGGAAATTTAGGAAAGTTTACATCAATTTGTGAGTAAGTGAGTGAGTGAGTGAGTGAGTGAGTGAGTGAGTGAGTTTTAGTAATATTCCAGCACTATCATAGCGGGGCACACCAGAAATGGGATTCACACATTGTACCCGTGTGGGAAATCGAACCCGCGCCTTAGGCGTGACGAGCGAACGCGCTTTAACGACTCTCTCTCTCTCTCTCTCTCTCTCTCTCTCTCTCTCTCTCTCTCTCTCTCTCTCTCTCTCTCTCACACACACACACACACACACACTCACTCACTCACTCACTCACTCACTCACAACTCACTCACTCACACACACACACACACACTCACTCACTCACACTCACTCACTCACTCACGATGTTCATGCTGTTGATCACTGGATGGTCTGATCCAGATTCGATTTACATACCGCCACCATATAGCAGGAATGTTGATGAGTGCGGCGTTAAACAACAAAAATTGAGAACATAACGTATAACGGATATAACAACGATTTGCATTCCATTGTATTACTTGTCAATGGCAATGCCAATAGGTTATATACATGTGACAATTCAAACAGGTTTTTACCATGATCCTTGACATATTTCCACAAATACAATATACACCTTAGGTTCCATGAGCTGACCTTTCTAGCCACGATACTCATGAATGTTGCCCAGCTGTCAAGTGTCATGTCATGAAGCACATCTGTAATGGCACCGAGATATATACTTTATATCTTCATTCAGAGAATCAAACAACATGAAATAGTTAAATCAGTCCACAAGGTTATTCATAAGAACAACAGATTTAAATAGGAATCCTAACATAAATCAACATAAGAATTGTGGCACTTAACTCCTCTATCTCGGACACTAAATTAAAAATCAGTTTTATTTTGCAACACAGCAGAAAATTCTGGAATTATGTCATTCTTGAAATTAGTATTTACTGTCTATTCTGTGATCACATACAGAGATCTTTCATCAGCAAATAGAAGATATATTGCTTTAATCTCTGATACAACTAATCAACAATATTGGTCCCATGGTAGACGAACATCCTGTCTCTGAAATGAACATATTTCAGAAACAAAATACAACAGTTCCTAAATCATAATGATAATATATGCCCAGAGACTTCCTTCATTTTCAGAAACCTCATTTCCTGAAACTGTGCTAAGCCAAGTAATCTGGACTTGCATGGACCGCATTATAGTTATATTTGTTACAGGGTCTGTTTAACAAACTACTTCCAAGGCCGAACCTTGCGGAACATTTACTAAAACTGTTCTTACAGCTTCACTATAACAGCTTAGGGGCGGTGCGGTAGCCTAGAGGTTAAAGCGTTCGCTCGTCACGCCGATGGCCCGGGTTCGATTCCCCACATGGGTACTATGTGTGAAGCCCATTTCTGGTGTGCCCCGCCGTGATATTGCTGGAATATTGCTAAAAGCGGCGTAAAACCAAACTCACTCACTCACTATAAATGCTTAGCGGCTTGTGTAGTGTAGTGTTGAATTGTAGGCAACTGTGTATGTCACGTGACCTACAACTAGTGCAGTTAGTGACTGAGACCAGCATGGGGTTGGTGTGAAAGGTTTGTTTCCTGTCCGACCTTGTATAATTTTGACCTTTCCAATAGCCCCGCTGGGTACAATACATTATGGTAATCGGTAAACTTTGTACCGGATACCGAACGATTGTTTGATGTTCCTGGAAGTCACAGGAACGCACGTGTGGCGAAGAGTTGCGTCTCTTAGGTGTATCAGGATTTGCTGATTTTCTTGTTCGGATCCCCTGGCATGACACGTTCCTTTCTCTGTTTTTGACGAAATTTGTTAAATGCCCATGGCCCGATTTCTTTAACTGAAACGCCATGCTACAACCGGAATACTGTCCAAAGCGGGCACCGTGATATAACTGAAATACTGTCCAAAGCGGACACGCAGTGTTATAACTGAAATACTGTCCAAAATGCCCGCTCGTCATGCCAAAGACCCGGGTTCGATTCCCCACATGGGTACAATGTGTGAAGCCCATTTCTGGAATCCCCGCCGTGATATTGCTGGAATATTGCTAAAAGAGGCGTAAAATCAAACCCACTCACTCACTCACTCACTGTACAAAATGGCGTTAAACTTAATTCGCTCGCACGCAACACATACCACCACCTGCTGGTTGGACTGACTGACTGACTGAGTTTGGTTTTAAGCCGCTTTTAGCAACATTCCAGCAACATCACGGCGGTGGACACCAGAAATGGGCTTCACTCATTGTACCTATGTGGGGATTCGAACCCGGGTCTTCGGCGTGACGAGCCAACGCTTTAACCACTAGGCCACCCCACCGCCCCCGCTGGTTGGAAGATCAAATTGGTTTACTTTAGTTTTCTAGATTATGTGTCTTATAAGACGACGTGCATGCGCGTCTGTGTTGCTGCTTGGATCTAGACCCGACTTAGAATTGTTTAGAATTATTTAAGAGAAATTACGAAGGGTAAAAGTGTGTGTCATTATATTGACAATGAAAATGAAACATAGATCACTGGAACTAAAAGTAAATATGATCACTTCAGACATATTGTTACCAGAAACTAAATCAAATCGTCGATACACCTGAAGCTTGAGTCAACGGTGGGTTGTTTGCCTTCATGTGATGACCTCTGTGATTCTGTTCTTAGAGGAGGTGTACCACGCCAAGACGTACGGTGCCTCCTGTCCCCAAGCCATCGACAGAGTTTTCGACAACTTCAGCGGCGCGACGATGTGGAACCCCCCTGGCGGAGTGATGAGCGAGGACTGCCTCTTCCTTAATGTGTGGGTGCCGCAGAAGACCTCAGGGCAGAGCAAGACCGTTATGGTGAGTTGTTGATATAGACTGGAAAAATTCCGGTCCGAATCAGAATATCCAATGATTGACGTCATCAGTATCTAACCACGAGATTCTTATACGAAAACCATCATCTACAAAGCCATTCATCATGATCCATTTCGTTGTCTCTTACGACAACCATTGGTGGTCAAATAGTTTACTACGATCATAGGGGATATAATATTCATAATCACAATTTTGGCGGAGCTTGTGTTTTACCGTTTTTTTACATTCTGAAAAGGTTGTATTTTTCTCAAGTTATACACGCACGTACGCAAACACACACGTACAACGCATGCTCGTCAGTCACGGATGCCGCGAACAGAATGTATTTTTAAAAGACAACCTTTGGCCCTCTCTTCAGAGAAGCAACTTGGAATAGTTTAAAACAGTGCCAGGCAAACACTCTTGGCACTAATACATTGAGCCCCTTGCTTCACAAAGTTGCACGATTCACGGGCACTGCCTACCAAGGCGACCGAGACGCAACAATTAGCAGACCATCGTTGCCTCCCTTTAAGGTTCTGTCAGGATCCGCTGACTGGTGTTTCGCAGCCCAGGTGTGTTCTGGCATCTCCAGAGTTATTGAGTGCGCTGGGTTTAACGAGGCTTTGAACAACATTGAATTCGTATCACAGCTCCTCGGGGGGCGGTGGGGTAGACTAATGGTTAAAGCGTCCGCTCGTCACGCCGAAGACCCGGGTCGATTCCCCACATGGGTACAACGTGTGAAGCCCATTTCTGGTGTCCCCCGCTGCGATATTACTAAAATCGGCGTAAAACCACACTCATCGGAGAAGGAAATCTCAAAGTGTTGCAGGTCTCAGACATTTTGCACTTTGATGGATCCCACGAGCTTGAGTATAGTGCTATCAAACCTAGCAAAAATACAGGTTTGGGGCCGAGCAAAGGGACGCGACTCTTTCCTGTGAGTTGCAGCGTGTTAGACGACCTGACCACACGTAGCCCAACTATACGATTCATTAAAGGGCTTTACGGTCGTAACTGAATATCCTGACATAATAGGTAAACTGACACGCCGTGCAAAGCGGCGCTAAACCCATCTCACTCACTCACTCACTGTTGTGATCCGTGAAGATCCGGATTAGAATTGGTCTTCAGCTACGTTCAGCAGCCCTTTCTTGAAGTAAGATGCGACTAACGGGATCGGGTGGTCATGCTCGCTGACTTGGTTGACACATGTCATCGGTTCCCAGTTGAGTATACCGATGGACATGTTGTTGATCACTGGATTGTCTGGTCCAGACTCGATTATGTACAGACCGCCGCCATACAGCTGGAACATTGCTGAGTACGGCAAAATAACAATCAAGCAAAACAGATACTCTATGTTGTATGTAAGTATCCTGAATCAAGAGTTGTTCCCCCCAGGTGTGGATCTACGGCGGCGGCTTCTACAGCGGCACCAGCAGCCTGTGGATCTACAACGGCAAGACAGTGGCCGCTTTTAAAGACGTCATAGTAGTTTCCTTCAACTACCGTTTGGGGGCGCTGGGCTTCCTGAGTACCGGCGATGACCGTATCCAAGGTACATATTCGCCTTTAATTTTAACATTTTAACGGGTTAGTTTTATTTTCATGAAAGGCATCTGGCATGCACATATATGGACTTGCTTTACTCTTATATACGTCTCGTTGGTTTTAAGATAATATACCTACGCGTATTTTCAGGAATACATGTGTTGAGTCCTGGTCTAAGATTTGGTCATGTCATTTCATTGGTTGAAGAGGCAATGTTTGTTGTTAGGACACACCCACTACCCGACTTATCTTTATATAGTGGGTGGGGCTTGTGTTTCGTTTCATTCATTCATTCACAGATTAATTCGCTCATTCACATATTCATTCGTTTATTTAATAATAATAATAATAATAATAATAATAATAATGGATATTTTTCGCGCGCCATTTTCCACCCACTGATACATGCTTAAGGCGCTACATAAAAGCATACATACAATGCATACAGAGGATAAAATAGTAAAATACGTATACATTGAAATTGATGACAGAAAGATTGATTTTAGGGATAGGCTTTGAAAAAAAAGAAAGTTTATTTATAGATACATGTATATCCATTCCGATTTAATCATATTCATTCACACACATTCATATAGATTCTTATGCATTCATATTCATTCATATTCATTCATTTGTTCATTCGTTCATTCATTCAAATAATTGCAGACAATATTGGGATAATTTCTAACTTCTTTCCTTCTTCCAGGTAATTTCGGTTTTATGGACCAGGTGCTTGCCCTGAAGTGGATCAGAGACAACATCAAGACATTCGGGGGAGATCCAAACAAGGTGACCATAGTTGGAGAGAGTGCAGGTGCGGTCAGTGTCACCTACCATCTCCTGTCCCCCCTAAGCGATGGACTCTTCCAGCGGGCCATAATACAGTCCCACGCAGCCGACTCTCTCGTTTTCAATGACAGGGAACAAGCAAGACGCGGTGCAATTAAATTTTTCGAAAGATTAAGATGCAAAGACAATGTTGATATATTAAAATGCTTGCGAAAAATAAGCTTTCAAACTCTTGTAGCAAAGCAATGGCTTCCAGACGGTAGACGCCTCCATAAACCCACAATATCACCTTTCATGCCACAACGACCGGAAGTGCTTCTTCGAGAACGAGGCTTCAAAAAGAAGGCGGTTTTGATTGGCTCCAACAAAAACGAAGGGACGTATTTCATGATATACCGCCTGAAATCTGTATCCATTAAAGATCCTGTAAGCGGACAGACACAACAAAACATAAAAGAAGCCATTTCTTATTTCCACACGGATTTGGACGAGGATCAAAAGGAGCGCGTATTCAAATACTACACTGAAAACATCGACGAATACGACCTCGTCGGCAACCGCAACGCTATCGACGCTCTCATGGGAGATCGCTACTTCACATGCCCTTCTACATACGTAGCAGAGAACAACGCAGCTGTTGGCGGCGAGACGTATTACTATTACTACAGCCACCGTGCTTCGATCGAAGTCTGGCCTGCTTGGATGGGCGTCATACATTCAGCTGAAATACAGGTAGGTGCCCCTACTTATCGGATAGCCTAATGCTTAAAGCGTTCGCTCGTCAAGCCAACGACCCGGGTTCGATTCCCCACATGGGTACAATGTGTGAAGCCCATTTCTGGTGACCCTAGATGATATTGCTGGGATATTGCTAAAACGCGGCGTAAAACTAAACTCACTCACACTCACGCTAACGTAGGGCGTGTTGCTATTTACGCTTGATATGTTTTAGAAAACTGTGGGGTGGATAAAACGACTTTTGAGCGGGTTTTAGGAAGTAACTTTGAATTTTGCGAGCGTTTGACGAGTTCTTGACACAGTGGTTGTTTTTATTTGTTTAGGGGGGTTTTATCGCTGCACTCGGCAATATTCCAGCGGTTACTGCGGTCTGTAAATTAACTCGTCTGAACCAGAAAATCCAATGATTGACATCATTAGGAGCAATCTACGCAATTGGGATACGATTATATGCATCAACCAGTTCTGCGAGCTTGATAAGCCGATCCCGTTAGTCGCCTCTTACTACAAGCATGGTTGACAGAGGACCAATTCTACCCCGGATCTTCATGGGATAAAACTGTCGGTATTCCGTGACTCGGAAGCTGTTGATTCTGCAATCAACAATAAAGAAATATATTTGTTTGCAACTGAATATTTATTCAGTTATATGTATAAAACAAGATATATTAAAAAAAAATTGTAAGTTTGAATTTTTATGAAATCGCGTCGTGTAACAACGTAGTTTGGTGGCAGACACATTTCTGGAGGATGTATTAAAACATATAATAGAGTTAATCGCGTGATCTCGGATTCTTTGTTTCGACAAATCTTTAATACGATGTATCTGCTACGATTGAAAGCATTTGAGACAAAGTAAGCGCAGGGTTCGACTGAAAACCTATTTCCCACATTATTTGGTCAGTGGTGAAAATGCGATGATTTGGTCGATGATAAACACGAAATATGACAGAGCCCTTTGGGATAGATATCCGTGTTCATACCGTTGCCTGCTTTATATTACAAGTCACAAGTGACAAGTTTATTTGCATTTGTGGCCACGTGACCCATATTGCTAATACAGAACAACTGCACACAGTGAGCATACATCATTCAAAACAATATCAAATTGGCAAATTTCTTTTTAAATACAACGAAAAAGATATAATGAGTTTTGTGTTTGTGGATTAATTTACGACGCTGCACGATAGCCATGTTGACCTTACTTGGAGTATTTCCGTTTCCGGTAGTTTATGTTCGGAATGCCGTTGAACGACACCAGTGGATACACAGATAAGGAGAAGAGGTTCTCTGAGCGACTTCTGTCATACTGGACCAACTTCGCCAAGTCAGGGTAGGTATATCAAACTTTGGGGTAAGTATATCAGCATTCAGGGTATTTAAGTATAGCAGTGTTCCGAGAAAGTATCAAACCGAAACATGAGTCTCATTACCCAATTCAGACAATGACCTACTTTTCAGCCGATACGAATTTTCTCGTGTGGAAGTGAAAAGAGACACTACAAACAACTATGGTTACACTGAATTCCAATTCCTTCTTTCATAAGAAAATGGTATTTACAAATGAATTTTGATTTTAAACTTTAATGACATCGTATTTCTATATTTTATGACGAGGTGTAGGCAGCATGACCTTAACTAAGACGTCACAGACTGCCCCTGCCCCTGATTCACAACTCATCTGGCTCACTGGTTACACCTGTTATGTGTTTTTTGCGCTTATTCAGTGTATTTTGGTAACGCACATTGAGATAGATGTAATATCAAGTCCGTACCAGACAGCCAAACTTTTCTAGCGGCAAAGCCTCGTTTTGAGATTTCCACGATTTCCAGATTTCAGTATGTCAGGGCTGTACGACAGAGCATGCTGCACGACGTGTTTGCAAGGATTAGAAGGAGCGTATTGTTGCAATATACACGTGCTTAGATGTATCAAATTATACGAATTAATATTTATATATCCAGTCTCAAAATTCTGGACTGGTTATTGTACTAAGTTGCGCAATAGGACGGAACCCAGTCAGCAGGAAACGAGACTGCTGTGTAGTCAATGTTTTGACTTGATTAGCGTTCAGGGTAGGTATATCAGCTTTCAGGGTAGGTACGTATATCAAGAGTTCAGAGAAAGTATCTTAGCGTTCAGGGTAGGTAGATCAGCTATCAGGGTACGTACGTATATCAAGTGTTCGGAGAAAGTATCTTAGCGTTCATAGTAGGTAGATCAGCTTTCAGGGTACGTATGTATATCAAGTGTTCGGAGAAAGTATTTTTACGTTCAGGGTAGGTAGATCAGCTATCAGGGAAGGTACGTATGTCAAGTGTTCTGAGAAAGTATATTTGCGTTCATAGTAGGTATATCAGCTTTCAGGGTAGGTACGTATATCAAGTGTTCTGAGAAAGTATATTTGCGTTCATAGTAGGTAGATCAGCTATCAGGGTAGGTACGTATGTCAAGTGTTCTGAGAAAGTATATTAGCGTTCATAGTAGGTATATCAGCTTTCAGGGTAGGTACGTATGTCAAGTGTTCTGAGAAAGTATATTAGCGTTCATAGTAGGTAGATCAGCTTTCAGGGTACGTACGTATGTCAAGTGTTCTGAGAAAGTATATTTGCGTTCAGGGTAGGTATATCAGCTTTCAGGGTAGGTACGTATATCAAGTGTTAGGAGAAAGTATATTTGCGTTTAGGGTAGGTAGATTAGCTTTCTGGATAGGTACGTATGTCAAGTGTTCTGAGAAAGTATATTTGCGTTAAGGGTAGGTAGATCAACTTTCAGGATAGGTATAACAGCTTTTGGGGAATGCTTTTGTATTTCAGTGTTCACTATAGATGAGTATATTAGCGTTCACTGTAGACAGACCTTTGAGTGTTGTGGGGAGGTACACGTATACTCATGGAAAAGAATAAGGGAACACATGAAAGTATAAGACTTAGTGTTCCCAGAGGTACAGATACACTGCGTATCTGCGTAAATTACGCAAATGCTTATGAGAAAACTCAATTCCTATTAAGTCTATTGTGTACAATTACGCTTGGATTTTGGTAAATACCCAATAAATGTGATCTCACATGCGTACAAACAAAAATGTCAAATCTTAGCTTGCGTACCGGTGGATAAAATAAAATAACTGAGGTATATTGAGAGGTTCTATTCCTTGAACATGAACTAAATATCAAACACTAACATTTAAACTTTTTTATATTTGTAAAATTAGTGGAAAATGGAAAAATACCCAAATTTGAATTGAGTTTGAGTGAGGTGAGTACAATTTATTTGGTTACTCAAAGGAAAATTAGAATACCCAATTGAGATGAACACAAGCGAGTACATAACTCAATGACCCCTAAAGTTATCTGTAGCTCTGACTGTCCTTTTATTCATTTCCAATTTACTTCACAAGGTATGTATTGCACTGTGGGTAAAATTCTAGGAATGAATAAAGGAAGATTTTCATGTGTTCCTTTATTAGTTTCCATGAGTATATGTCAGGTAAGTATATCAGCACTCGGGTAAGGTATATGAGCGTTCAAGGTGGATAGGTACATCAACCTTCGGGTCAAGCTATTTTGATACATCAGGATTTGGGTGATTTGGGTGATCGGTGTTTGAATGTCAATGTAATATACGCTCCCTTCGTATTCCAGAAACCCAAACGGCCATGGCAACAGTCCCTGGCCAAAGTATACGTCCAGTAAGAAGGAATTCCTGGAACTTGTTCTACAAGAGAAGAAGCACTCCGGAGGTCTGAGGACAGATCAGTGCCGGTTCTGGAGTAGCTTGGTCGGCTCAGGGGGCAACAGAGGCTACGTCAGCTCCACCAGCGTCGTTGTCCTCGTGATTGTCACCGTCTTCGGAGTGACGGCTTAAGGTTATCACGTGATATACACGTGACGTAGGACAATCATGCAAGTTTGGCCGTATTTTAGTGATAGTGTACATGAATCACGAATATGTCTAGTCAGCACGAAGAAAATGTCGGCCTTGCGACAGAACATCGCTTTACATTTATGTCATGCATTGGCCCAACACCCAAAAACACTGAGGAAGTATTAGGAGGAATATCATTTTTTATAGTTTAGTTCTTTTCAAAGATAATATTTTACTTGATTTAATGATATTTGTGTAAGGACATGAAGACATCTCCGTAGATGGTTGCATTGCACTATGGCCGTCTAAGTGAAAGGTGCGAGAGGTTTTGAAGCTATTCAGATGTCAACTTTCTAAATTGGTTCTATATTTCTATATTTGGTAATTTCGATTTTTTAAAGAAAACGTCAATGATATGCCTATTTTCTTCAACATTTATGTCGCCAGCAGTGGAAGTACATTCATGTATGTAATAATATTTCGTTGAATGAAATGACACTTAGATACTCAGTACTCAAAGCTGGTTACGATTGAATATATCTTTATGTTTGGACGACAGAGCAAGTACAAACGATTCATATTCCCGATGTCCGTAACAGCTCACCCAAAACTACATTATGTATTTTAGAAGAAACATGTTTGACTAGTCATGGGTACTTCATTATACAAATCTGTAATATTTCAATGTATACTGGACAAAATAAGTTAGGGATATTGGTATTTTTATGATTGATATTTTACCAGTGTGTCAATGAATAAATATATCATTATTCATAATTTCAAAATTACATATATCCCTAACTATGTTTGTCTAGTATAGATGCTGAATTCAACATCAGTATAGAATATGCCCATTCTACTTTCACAATATTTTTGCAGGTTTGTAAATTTGTTCCTGTTGCAAAAAGAAATAAGATTAGCCTAGGTGAGGATACCGTAAACAGTTAATATTCCTACATCGGTTTTATATACTATGCTTATCGTCACTACAATAATAATCTGTTGGATTTAAACATACACTTAAATAACAGACTTCATTAAAATGTGATCTTTAAAATGTTTTAAGTAGTTGTTACAAAAGTGAAAGACTTATCCATTTCACCATTCCTTCGCTTCTGTGTTGACCATTGAATATGAGATTTTGCAGCTATATTTGTAATATATACACATTACTACCTTTGCTTTGGAACAGATCTCCTTGGCGATTCCGTAAACAATAAAGAGCGAAAAAAAGCTTGGTGCGTGTGCATCGATTCCGTAATATATTGATGTGCAGCCATTGGCCTAAACCTCTTCTGGTTATTAAGAGTAGTAAGAAAATAGCTCAGTGGAGTATAGTGTGTATTAGTGTTGGGAATTGGTTAAAATCTTGTAATTGATGATTGGTTCATTATAACCGATCAATCATCGAAAATAATTGGTTAGCGTCATTTATCAAATTTTCCTGGTTATTTTTGTTAATGCACAAAAAAATCAAGAAAATCCATGCAGTTCCTTGGGATATTTTTGCAAATTGTGCATCTTTAAAGGATGACTATGTTAGGAACATAAATTTCTTGTCGTCTTTAAAATAAATTCAGTTGTGACTTGGAGCGAGCATGTCGTGTTCATGAAATGTAACAGACAAAACCAACCGTGTGAAAAATATTGTTAATGCAAAAAGTGTTCCAGAATTGTTTGTGTTCGATTATGAGAAAACATGATCGAATGCTTGGTCGTTTAGTCATTGCGACCAATCTTCGATTTTTTCATTTAATCGGACCACCACTAGTGTGTATGTCCCCAAACCCCATATACTCGGTATTTATTTGTATTTTTGTCTACCATTTTTTAATAAATATGACTCTAGTATGTTTTTTTCTTCTTTGGGGGATGACACCTCATGTATTGCCACATTGTCTGCCCTTGTCTGGAACCGATGACGGAACACGTGTCAAGGAGATACATTGAGAGGAATTTAGAGTTATTTCCCTTTGTGCTGGATTTTGTTCGTTTGAAGATTCTTGATCAACAGTGGCCTTGGCTTGTGAAGCCCGCGAACACGGGTAGTTCTCATACCCCAAGGATCATAATCAGGGGTCAGAATCAGGGAATAATACAACCGATCAGCAGATCCTGGTACAACTATCTGACGAAAGCCACGTCTCTGTGTCGAGAACATGGCCACCCATGCCCCGAAGGCTGGTGATGCGACTCAAAGCAAACTGGGAGTTGGAGTGTAATCAATGTTGGTTTCGAACTCACGGCTTGTAGATTTTGCCATAACTATGTCGCGCAAGTTTGAGATGTTGTGTCTGAACGAACGTGCGTTCGTGCGTGTGTGCGTGTGTGGGTTATATAACGCTAGCCTACCATGGCACTTGATACCGTACTCATACACACCATACGGACTCCGATCAGAGACGTCCTTGTATTCCCCCATACCAAGCACAAGCCAAGGTAACAACAAGTACCATTTTCAACGTATTTTTCGGTTTGGTGCAGCAGGGGATCGAACTACCGACCTTCCACTCTCCGGGCAGACGCACCGTCCACTAGACCAGGGAAGCAAAACACAAACACCCAGTACACAGTGTAACACGTTTCTAGTGTGTCTCACAGTCCTTGAACCACATTATTTTCCATTCAGCTTGGCCCCTAGCCCTCCCTGCAATGCTAAAGCCCTAAATGAAGCAAGTCTAGATTTCCTCGGATGTCCCTTCTCATTGGGGCTCCTTTTCAATTTGAAAGGAATTGTTTATTTCATCAAAATTATATGTATTCAGAGATTGTGGTTTCTTTTGTCCTTGTAGGGAATCGAACAGCAAAGAGTAGACTGTCTCACAGTCCCTGAACCATATTATTTTCCCTGCAGCCTTGCCTTCCCTGCAATGCTAAATCCCTAAATGAAGCACAGTGGCGGATCCAAAGGGGTGTGTGGGGTGTGGGTGTTCAGGGGGTGTTAGTCTAAGCCTGGTTGTTCAACTCACAGATAACACAGTGGCAGTACCCATATTACATTTATTACCACCTCCAGCATCTACCAGTGTAATCCTAGTTTCTTCACAACTGCCTTTGGACCAGTAGTCTTCTGTTCACACCATAGATGAGACCAGTGGTACTCGGCACAGTACTCGCCCCTGGTAAACGTAAAACACTCCACGTCCAGGACGCCGAAGAAACCGGTGCCCACCTCGTTTGAAGCGGAGTTGTTGACACTCTTCAAGATGGGAAATAGAATTGTTGCATTTAAAATTTCACATGTCTGTTTAAGAGACGTTAGGAGCCAGCCGGTACTTTTGCATCACTCTAGGTTATTTGTCAAGCCATGACAAATTTACTATGTTAATAATATGGTGGTCCCGTGTTAACTGCCCGACAAGCTTGTGAGAGTGAGTGAGTGAGTTGCGATTTACGCCGCTTTTACCAATATTCCAGCAATATCACGGCGGGGGACACCAGAAATGGGCTTCACACATTGTGCCCATGTGGGGAATCGAACCCGTGTCTTCGGCGTGACGAGCGAACGCTTTAACCACTGGACTACCCCACCGTCCCCAGCTTGTGAGAAAGATCATGTCAAGGTCTGCCATTAATAATTTCCCACATACGTTAAGGACTACCCGCCTCTTTCATTTTTACTGTAGTTTATCTCTCGTATAATAAATGTAAAACTGAAAGAAGCGAACAAACCACTCAAACATATTATCGACAATCGGGGCGAAACTGTGAGTGCACGAAAACTGTATACCTTGAGGCACTGGTATAGCGCCTTGTCACAGTCACAGAGGCTCAGCGTCCATGGATACAGGTTCTGGTAATGGTATTTGGAATCGAAGGCGTCGATGAAGTATGGACAGTGGTCATGTGTCCGGCAACAAGCGTCAGTCTGTCTCGAGGTCCCTGAAATATACGCAGAATTAGAAATATTCCCCATAGCCACCAAAATAGACATTCTGGAGAATAGTGAGTGAGTTTAGTTTTACACCTCGCGTTCTCTGCTGCAGCCCCCTATCTCTGGAACATTCTACCACTCACCCTAAAAGAAATAGAATCTGCTGATGCTTTCAAAACTGCCCTCAAAGACTCATCTGTTCAAACTCTCTTTTCCATAGACATTGTCTACAATCTTTTCTCTTCATAGCGCCATTGAGCAATATCTTTTGGAAATAGGCGCTCTATAAATCAATTATTATTATATTATTATTATTATTTTAGCAATATTTCAGCAATATCACGGCGGGGGACACCAGACACGCATTGTATATATATGGAGGAATCGAACCCGGGTCTTCGGCATGACGAGCGTACGCTTTAACCACTAGGCTACCCTACCGCTGCCACTCAGATAGGGACTACTAGTCTGTCTCACAGTCCCTGACCACATTACTTTCCCTACTGTCAAGCCCTCCCTGCAATGCTAAAGCTCTAACTGAAGCAAGTCTAGATTTCCCCAGGTAACTCACTGTGGCTCCTTTTCGGTTTAAATGGGTTTATTTGTTACATTCAAAACTATATATATTCAGGGACTAAACGTTAGTCTAAGGGACTATAGTCTGTTTGCAGTGAAAACGTACCGATGAATTTCACTTTAAACAAAAACGTAAATCAAATAAAGTGAAATTAGAAGTACGAATCCTCATGATTTTACCTTGACAATTGAACATTTAAATCTCAGAATTTTATTCAACTTAGGATAAAAGTTGTTTAACAAACGATCATAGTTTCAAATCGCTATTGTTGGTTTGTATTACAAGGGGGTATGCACATTAAATGAAACACCGAGAACAAGTAGGGTTGGTCTAAGTTAACGCTCATCACGTACTGCACGTGCATTTGTATCACTGTTCCAATTACTGCGTTTACTCCCTTGTAATACAAACCAATAATAGCGATTTGAAGCTATGATCGTCTGTTAAACAACTTTTATCCTAAGTTGAATAAAATTCTGAAATTTATATGTTTAACTGCCAAGGTAAAATTATGAGGATTCGTAATCTTACTTTCACTTTATTTGATTTACTTTTTTGTTTCAAGTGAAATTCATCGGTACGTTTTCACTGCAAACAGATTATACATGTTCCGTTAAATTATAAAAACATACTAGATTCCATATTTTGTACCAACAACTAAACCAAACAACGTCAGGATATTCAACGTTAAATCAGGGGCAAATAAGGCCGACGTAACTAACCCAAGTCATCGTAGCTGTTGGCGACGTTCCCCTCCCCACACCACTTGGTCCCGGGGACGATGAGGAGGCTGCTGCCTGACCCCGCGGGCTGAGCGGTCTTCTCGGGGGCGAATGGCTGAGGCGGCAGAGCGGCAGGGGCGACAACTCGGTATGAGAACTGGTGACGCTGTTCACAGAGACTCACCACATCTTTAACTTTCGCCTGTCCTGGAATTTTGAAGAACATGTAGTAGTTTAGTTTAAGGAAGGACATTAATTTTTCTGAACATCCTGTTGGGCGTTTAGTAACCCTTCGATATAAAGCCTACCCGTGAAGATCCGGGTTAGAATTGATCTTCAGCAATCCATGCTTGTCGTAAGAGGCGACCGACGGGATCGGATGGTCAAGCTCGCTGACTTGGTTGACACATGGAATCGTATCCAAATTGCGTAAATCGATGCTCATGCTGTTGATCACTGGATTGTCTGGTCCAGACTCGATCATTTACAGACCGCCGCCATATAGCTGGAATATTGCCGAGTGCGGCCTTAGCAACAAAGAAACAAAATCCATTTAAAGCCCGCTTGCATGAAATTATGTGGTAACGGTTTAAACCACATGCCAGCTGTACGAGGCTGCGAAACGTGAAGATCCGGGTTAGAATTGATGATCAGCAATCCATGCGGGATCGGGTGGTCAGACTCGCTGACTTGGTTGACACAATCATGTCATCGTATCCCAGTGTCGTAGATCGATGCTAATGCTGTTGATCACTGGTTTGTCTGGTCCAGACTCGATTATTTACAGATTGTCGCCATATAGCTGGGATATTACCACGTGCGGCGTAAAACTAAACTCACTCACTCACTGTGCGACGCTGCACTCTGAAATATTTAGCCATATGATGACATTTTGCAAATACTCCATTCTGAACCTGACAATCCATGATGGATATCCATGAGCATGAGCGCCATGAGCATACACTAGTGTGTGGAAACGGCGCCATACAAGTGGACATTATTATATTATACCATAAGCATCTTGACTCCCGCTACACATGTCAGGAGATGAGGCTAAATGGTCTCCACAAACTTTTCCATGTGGATAAATTGTTCCTGTTTGGCTTCTCTCATGTACTGTGCAATAATCTCTATTTGTTGAAGAAATAAGATACTTGAAATATGCCAAAGGCTCGCATGATACAATTTTTATTCCTAATATATTATACTAATGATACGGAAACACACGAGGTTAATAATCTCTTTATCATATAATGTCATCCTTTTAATTACTCTAAAAAAAGAAGCAAATCGTACGTGAATTTATATGAAGAGATTCGAGCATTCGCGCAAGAATACTTAGCGGTACACCAAGGTGAAGGTCCTTAATGACGGCGGCATATGGTTGTGACTTAACTCGCGACGACGTCATCAATGAAATGTTAGCGTATTAGGATGGAGTTTTGTGAAAGTAGTTCGCGTATTGACCTAATACCAATTTTATCAGATTGCTTTATTGCACCGATACCACCCTCCATTACATGATTTATCTAAATATTGTGTCAAAATGTCAAAATGTTCTTGTATAAAGTTTGAACTATAAGTCCAATCTATATGATTCTCACCAATTGTTTTTGTGACGACATTTTTGTTGCCCAACAGCTTTGCTACGGCGTCTTTGTCACGTGACACAGAACATTTCAGGACACCACGACTCCGACTGCCAACTGCTTCAATGTACACAGTGCCATCTGTCGCCTGGATCTCGAGACCAGAGGGAGACACCTTCGTCTGGACATATGCGATGTCGTCTGTGAAATGAAATTGCATACATCATAATGTTTCAAATAGTAAATAGATGGCCAACTATAGTAGTGAGTGAGTGAGTTTAGTTTTACGCCGCACTCTATATTCCACTCAATATTCCAGCTATATGGCGGCGGTCTGTAAATAATCGAGTCTGGACCAGACAATCCAGTGATAAGCATCATGATCATTATGGTAATCTGAATGACTGAATTGACTAAATAATGCGACAGGTTCACATGCCATAGGAACTGGAGTGGAAATAAAACTGGGAAGGGCAATGTACTGAAGATAATCGCAATCGCCAAATACTCGTCATATTTTGGGATGACCCTCCCCTCGTTAGGTTCGGCACAATTTCAGCAGAATCAAACGTTTAGTCAAGCAGATGTAACCATTTTGTGCGGTCTGCCTGATTTTTTTGTTTCCATTGAAACGTGTACCGGTTTTTCTTCTGGTTCAAGTTGGCCTGGAAGATGCGATAATCACGCGATGATCTTCAGGAAATCCCGATTCAGTTGAGTAGACAGGTGGGGTTGTGTTTGCCAATGACGTCCACCATCATCTCTGTGGACAGGTGTGGTTGTGTTTGCCAATGACGTCCACCATCATCTGAGTAGACAGGTGGTTGTGTTTGCCAATGACGTCCACCATCATCTGAGTAGACAGGTGTGGTTGTGTTTGCCAATGACGTCCACCATCATCTGAGTAGACAGGTGTGGTTGTGTTTGCCAATGACGTCCACCATCATCTCTGTAGACAGGTGTGGTTGTGTTTGCCAATGACGTCCACCATCATCTGAGTAGACAGGTGTGGTTGTGTTTGCCAATGACGTCCACCATCATCTCTGTGGACAGGTGTGGTTGTGTTTGCCAATGACGTCCACCATCATCTCTGTGGACAGGTGTGGTTGTGTTTGCCAATGACGTCCACCATCATCTGATGACGTCCACCATCATCTGGGTAGACAGGTGTGGTTGTTTGCCAATGACGTTTCATCTCTGTGGACCAATGACGTCCACCATCATCTCCAGGTGTGGTTGTGTTTGCCAATGTGGACAGGTGTGGTTGTGTTTTGCCAATGACGTCCACCATCATCTGAGTAGACGGGTGTGGTTGTGTTTGCCAATGACGTCCACCATCATCTGAGTAGACAGGTGTGGTTGTGTTTGCCAATGACGTCCACCATCATCTGGGTGGACAGAATTATGACGTCCAGGTGACAGGTGTGGTTGTGTTTGCCAATGACGTCCACCATCATCTCTGTGGACAGGTGTGGTTGTGTTTGCCAATGACGTCCACCATCATCTGAGTAGACAGGTGTGGTTGTGTTTGCCAATGACGTCCACCATCATCTGAGTAGACAGGTGTGGTTGTGTTTGCCAATGACGTCCACCATCATCTGTGGTTGTGTTTGCCAATGACCAATGACGTGGTGGACAGGTGTGGTTGTGTTTCCACCATCATGACGGTGTCCAATGACCATCATCTGAGTAGACAGGTGGGTTGTGTCCACCATCATCTCTGTTTGGTTGTGTTTGCCAATGACGTCCACCATCATCTGAGTAGACAGGTGTGGTTGTGTTTGCCAATGACGTCCACCATCATCTGAGTAGACAGGTGTGGTTGTGTTTGCCAATGACGTCCACCATCATCTGAGTAGACAGGTGTGGTTGTGTTTGCCAATGACGTCCACCATCATCTGAGTAGACAGGTGTGGTTGTGTTTGCCAATGACGTCCACCATCATCTCTGTGGACAGGTGTGGTTGTGTTTGCCAATGACGTCCACCATCATCTGAGTAGACAGGTGTGGTTGTGTTTGCCAATGACGTCCACCATCATCTGTTGTGTAGACAGGTGTGGTTGTTTTGCCAATGACGTCCACCATCATCTGGGTTTGTTGCCAGTAGACAGGTGTGGTTGTGTTTTGCCAATGACGTCCACCATCATCTGGACAGTGTGACAGGTGTGGTTGTGTTTGCCAATGACGTCCACCATCATCTGAGTAGACAGGTGTGGTTGTGTTTGCCAATGACGTCCACCATCATCTGAGTGGACAGGTGTGGTTGTGTTTGCCAATGACGTCCACCATCATCTGAGTAGACAGGTGTGGTTGTGTTTGCCAATGACGTCCACCATCATCTCTGTGGACAGGTGTGGTTGTGTTTGCCAATGACGTCCACCATCATCTGAGTAGACAGGTGTGGTTGTGTTTGCCAATGACGTCCACCATCATCTGAGTAGACAGGTGTGGTTGTGTTTGCCAATGACGTCCACCATCATCTCTGTAGTAGACAGGTGTGGTTGTGTGTTTGCCAATGACGTCCACCATCATCTGAGTAGACAGGTCCACCATCATGGTTGTGGTTGTGTTTGCCAATGACGTCCACCATCATCTGAGTAGACAGGTGTGGTTGTGTTTGCCAATGACGTCCACCATCATCTGAGTAGACAGGTGTGGTTGTGTTTGCCAATGACGTCCACCATCATCTGAGTAGACAGGTGTGGTTGTGTTTGCCAATGACGTCCACCATCATCTGAGTAGACAGGTGTGGTTGTGTTTGCCAATGACGTCCACCATCATCTGCCAATGACGTCCACCATCATCTGAGTGGACAGGTGTGGTTGTGTTTGCCAATGACGTCCACCATCATCTGGGTAGACGGGTGTGGTTGTGTTTGCCAATGACGTCCACCATCATCTGAGTAGACAGGTGTGGTTGTGTTTTCCTATGCTGTCCTGACAGGTGTGGTAGTGGTTGGCTTGTGGTCAGGCGGACATAATCCATTGTCAGTGGGAGATGGTGAGTTGAAATGGGGGCTTAAAGACGTACTTGAGAATATTTCGCTCATATGACGATGTGCATGCGTGTGTACGTGTGGCTGCTTGTACTAGCCCAGATTTAAACTGGTTTTATAGTGCCAGCTCACTGAGATACCATGCCGCAGTTAAGCATGAATACCCCACTCAGACACATTATACTGACTCCGAGCCGACCAGTCCTTGTTGTACCCAAGTGCCGAGCGCCAGGCAGGGATCAACAAGTACCATATTTTAACGTCGTTTTGGTATGACGCGGGGATCGACCCAGCGACCTTCCGCTCTCCGGGCGGACGCTCTAACCACTACACCACGGAGGCGGTTTATTGTCAGTGGGAGAGCACAGGGCAGTGCGAGCATAATTGGATTTGATTTTTATTGTTTAACGTCCCACTCAGCAACATTCCAGCTAAACAAAAGACAGTCCGTTTGAGTCAGAAACGGACCGATGAATTGCAAATTTTATCATTGTACAAAATTGCCACATAAATATAAATAGTACACATGTTTATCATTTACTAATACCCAACAGCTTTCTTATATTTGAAAATTTTCCGGACTCCACCAAAACTGTTCTTTAAGAAACTATCATCATTGAAAACGCAAAAGTTGTTATCTGTCGCGGAGGGGTGAAACCGCAGAAACGGAACAGCCAGTCATGGCGGGGGACATCTCAAAATCTATTCCGGGAGACCTGTCGGTTCCTCGTCCGTCGTAGTGTCATAGTCACGACTTAAAGGGATGACAAGTGGTGCCACAGTTGCCTGTTGTAAGCCATCCCGAGACCAGTAACCTTGTTAAATGACGTTAGCTACCTTGTTGACACAGTTTTGCCAAGTTTCAGTCGTGATTTTGTTAAGGGATTCTTAACCAAAACCTCTACGTCACGTAATCTAAAAGTTGTGTTTGATCTGGCAACATCTCCTTTGACAATACCCCATATCATTTCAATGGGGTTACGGTCACAGTGATAGGGTGGAAGTCGCAGAATATCGTGACCCTTACTTTTTATGTAACTGTCAACTTTGTGGGTTTTTATGATCTCATATAGCTGAGGCTTCGTTGCCTTTGAAGGCCGTGCGATCTGAAATTTGTCGAGCCATGATATCATATCACCTTTTCGACTGTTCGATGTCGGGGTCCTGCACGCTGTGGTATGGGACATTGTCCATTACGATAAAAGACTTCTCTGGTAGAGCTGGTACCAACTTGTTTTTAACCCAATCGAGGAAAACCGCACCATTCATTTCGGAATGGTAGTCTCTGTTATCTGTGGAATTTGCCCTGAATACCAAGTCGCAGCCTCGGAGAAAGCCTTTGCTGGAGCAACCAGCATGGAGAATGATTAGTCTCTCTCCTTTCCCTAGAGGCAGCTTTCTACGTGACCCCTTATCACCCCCATCGGGTACCCACTGACTGCTGGCAGTGTGCAAACCGAAACATGAGTCTCATTAACCAATTCAGACAATGACATACTTTTCAGCCGATACGAATTTCTCGTGTGAAAGCGAAAAGAGACATCAAAAACAAATATGGTTACACTGAATTCCAATTTTTGTTTCATAAGAAAAAAGTATTTACAAATGAATTTTGACTTTAAACTTTAATAACATCGTATTTCTATATTTTATGGCGAGGTGCAGGCAGCATGACCTTAACTAAGACGTCACAGACTGCCCCTGCCCCTGAGGTCGTAAAATGATTCACAATTCATCTGGCTCACCGGTTACACTTGTTATGTGTTCTTTGCGCTTATTCAGTGTATTTTTGTAACGCACAATGTGATTTGATTATAATTAGTCCGTACCAGACCGCCAAACGTTTCTAGCGGCCGAGCCTCGTTTTGAGATTTCCACGATTTCCAGATTTCAGTATGTAAGAGAAGGCTGTACAACAGAGCACGCAGCACGACGTGTTTGCAAGGATTAGAAGGAGCGTATTGTTGCAATATACACGTGCTTAGATGTATCAAATAATACGAATTAATATTTATATATCCAGTCTCAAAATTGTGGACTGGTTATTGTACTAAGTTGCGCAATAGGACGGAACCCAGTCAGCAGGAAACGAGACTGCTGTGTAATCAATGTTTTGACTTGCGAGGCATTGACCCAGGTCTCGTCCAAGTACACTGGCTCGAACCCTTCCTCGCGCTTCTTCTTTATAACCCTGAGAAAATTATTTCTCAAGCGAACGATATCAGGGCGTTCGCAGAGTACTGACCTATTCTCCCCCGAAATGTTCTTATAACGATACCCGAAAGAGTGTAAGAGTCGCCAGAGTGTGTACTTTGATACTCTGAGGTTGTGTTCTTGCTTCAAATGCTTTTTAAAAAATTTCAGCGACATGTATTTGTTTTCAGAATAGAGCTTGTTGATAGACTGCCTTACAAGGTTCTTTTGAAAGTTGTCCATATGTTTTAATTTGTGTGATTTTGACACGACCCCTACCTGCTTCGCATCACCCTCACAATGTTTGTGTTCCAGAACATTTGTCAGTACCCTTGCTGATACTCCTAAAGCTTTTGCTGCCCGCTTACGGAATTTATCAATGGCATAAAATGGTTTGCCCCTTTCGGCTTCAGCACGGAAAAAATCGTACACTTTAATCATCAACCGTTCCACGTCAGCATTCAACTTCATTTTTCATCAGGCATGTGTATCCCGTGCACGACGAGATAGTGGCTGTTCCGTTTCTGCGGTTTCACCCCGCCGCGACAGATAACAACTTATGCGTTTTCAATGATGATAGTTTCTTAAAGAACATTTTTGGTGGAGTCCGGAAAATTTTCAAATATAAGAAAGCTGTTGGGTATTAGTAAATGATAAACATGTGTACTATTTATATTTATGTGGCAATTTTGTACAATGATAAAATTTGCAATTCATCGGTCCGTTTCTGACTCAAACGGACTGTAGTCTTCTGCTTCAAGAAGACTGCCACAGAATACACGCGTCATCACACATGGACTTATGGATGCTTGGTGAATCGTAGTGATTTAAGTTACTCTTTCACACGGATTTTTTTAATCTCAGTATATCTCTTTGATATGACTTCGTCATTCGTAATTTGTGAAATCCTTCATGTTTTGAACATGTGCATATTTGTGAGATAGGATTTGTTGAATTTGGTCAAAAATAGGTCAACAAAACATTCCACGTGCAATACAGGTGAGACAATGACCGTCACTGAACTGCAGTGTAAAACGTCACTATAACGCAGATGTAACAGACACTATGATGCACGTGTAACAGCCACCATAACGCAGGTGTAACAGTCACCATGATGCACGTGTAACAGTCACCATAACGCAGGTGTAACAGACACCATGATGCACGTGTAACAGTCACCATAACGCAGGTGTAACAGACACCATAATGCACGTGTAACAGTCACCATAACGCAGGTGTAACAGACTGATAACAGTCACCATAACGCAGGTGTAACAGTCACCATGATGCACGTGTAACAGAACTTCATGATGCACGTGTAACAGTCACCATAACGCAGGTGTAACAACAGTCACCATAACGCACGTGTAACAGTCACCATAACGCAGGTGTAACCACGATGCACGTGTAACACCATAACGCAGGTGTAACAGTCACCATAATGCAGGTGTAACAGTCACCATGATGCACGTGTAACAGACACCATGATGCACGTATAACAGTCACCATAACGCAGGTGTAACAGACACCATGATGCACGTGTAACAGTCACCATAACGCAGGTGTAACAGACACCATGATGCACGTGTAACAGTCACCATAACGCAGGTGTAACAGACACCATGATGCACGTGTAACAGTCACCATAACGCAGGTGTAACAGACACCACGATGCACGTGTAACAGTCACCATAACGCAGGTGTAACAGACACCACGATGCACGTGTAACAGTCACCATAACGCAGGTGTAACAGACACCACGATGCGTGTAACAGTCACCATAACGCAGGTGTAACAGACACCATGATGCACGTGTAACAGTCACCATAACGCAGGTGTAACAGTCACGCATGATGCACCATGATGCACGTAACAGTCACCATAACGCAGGTGTAACAGTCACCATGATGCACGTGTAACAGTCACCATAACGCAGGTGTAACAGTCACCACGATGCACGTGTAACTGTCACCATAACGCAGGTGTAACAGACACCACGATGCACGTGTAACTGTCACCATAACGCAGGTGTAACATACACCACGATGCACGTGTAACTGTCACCATAACGCAGGTGTAACAGACACCATGATGCACGTGTAACAGACACCATGATGCACGTGTAACAGTCACCACGATGCACGTGTAACAGTCACCATAACGATGCACGTAACAGTAACAGTCACCATAACGCAGGTGTAACAGACACCTTGATGCACGTGTAACAGACACCATGATGCACGTGTAACAGTCACCATGATGCACGTGTAACAGTCACCATAACGCAGGTGTAAAAAGACACCACGATGCACGTGTATAACAGTAGCAGTCACCATGATGCACGTGCATCAGTCACCATGATGCACGTGCAACTGGTGCCATGTTGTAACGAATCACATGCCACACATGACGATTGGTCAGTTATCTGGGTTAAGGTCCAATTGAGTTTAATGTAAAACTATGAAGCTGAAAGCTTTACCTCCATGTCAGGACACCGCTAACGTCAACTAACTATAAATTATACAGGTACACATATTTACACAATTAAATAAAAAAGATGTAACTTCCACATACCCGGATGTACAGCAAAAACCGTCAAGACCATGCACCCGAGCCAGCAGAGAACGACCCCGGTCGCCATCTTGTCTGTGAGCATTGCAAAGAACGTTTCCAACGGAGGGCAAAGTGCGAGAGCTACACATGTTTATGAAGACATATTTCCTTATCGGCACCTGGCCTTGCATAACTGTATCAAGATATTCTCCCTTACTGTGCCGACCGACATGCGCCAAGTGGCCTACTGATTAAAGTTCTGACACCCGATTAATAAATCATCATACTGCTCAAAAGAAGTGAAGGATCACCCGAGTCTACGATGCTGAAATCTTTAGAATCATTTGTTTCCAGGAATAAACACCGAAGCTGTTTTGTCGCACTTCAGCTATGTTATATAATTTCTCTAAAAATTTGCACAATGACCTTTGATGCGCCTATGTTTCTAGTTTAAATGCCTGCTCTGGGTGGCTGGTGGGTTTCTGGCTCAACGGCCATGGGTCATGATTATGTTTTCACTCATATTAGGGGCGGTGGGGTAGCTCAGTGGTTAAAGCGTTCCCTCGTCACGCCGAAGACCCGGGTTCGATTCCCCACATGGGTACAATGTGTGAAGCCCATTTCTGGTGTCCCCCGCCGTGACATTGCTGGAATATTGCTAGAGGCGGCGTAAAACCATACTCACTCACTCATATGACTTACAGTTAAACTCTAATACTTGACTTCTGTTGAGAAGTACATTTAGGGTGATAATGCCGTTCAGTGATGCTTGAGCCTGAAAGTCGATTCGAGAACTAGATGGGAATGTGTTCGGTGATTAATCTAAACGTGTCACTATCAAATGTCTTAAAAGAATTGTTTCACTTCCCGTGAAGATCCGAGCTACAATTGGTCTCCAGCAACCCATGCTCTTCGTAAGAGGCGACTAACGGGATCGGGTGGTAAGGCTCGCCGACTTGGTTGACACATGTCATCGTATCCCAGTTGCGTAAATCGATGCTCATGAAGTTGATCATTGGATTGTCTGGACTCGATTATTTACAGACCGACGCCATATAACTGGAATATTGTTGAGTGCGGCGTTAAACAACAAAAAATAACAAAATGAAAGTGAGTGAGTGAGTTTAGATTTACGCCACACTCAGCAATATTCCAGCTTTATGGTGGCGATCTGTAAATAATCGAGTCTGGACCAGACAATCCAGTGATCAACAGCATGAACATCGATCTTCGCAATTGGGAACCGATGACGTGTCAAGCAAGTCAGCGAGCCTGACCACCCAATCCCGTTAGTCGCTCTTTACGACAAGCATGGGTTACTGAAGACCCTTCACGGGTCACACAAAAAAGAATGGTTTCACAATGTGTTATCACAAGACGTGAGATCAACAGGGTTTGGATCAGTGTGACATTGTCGAAGTCCAAAAAAACTTCCGCTGACGCCCGGTGCCATCACTACATTCCTATAACTGTCGCCACTGTTCTGCCGACCCGACGGGTAGATATATTAATAAGCCAAGGAATCTCAGATTATGTCAAATGTGTTCGGGTGCTTACATTGAAAATGAATATCATTTTCTCTTAATATGTTCTGCCTATGATCATCAGCGTACATCCTATATTCCTGTGAACTATTATACATATCCATCATTATGCAAATTTAATACTTTGATGTCTGTAGACAATTCCACTGTGCTACGAAATCTAGCTATGTATCTATTTTATGCGAATGAGCTGCGTACAAGCCGTTTGTTGGCTGTATGAAGTTATATTGTACTATGGCCTACATACACCAGAATAAAGAGAGATTGACCCGTGAAGGTTCGGGTTAGAATATTGGCCTTCAGTAACCCATGCTTGTAAGAGGCGACTAACGGGATCGGGTGGTCAGCCTCGCTGACTTGGTTGACACATGTCATCGGTTCCCAATTGCGCAGATCGATGCTCATGCTGTTGACCACTGGATTGTCTGGTCCAGACTCGATTATTTACATACCGCCGCCATATAGCTGGAATATTGCTCAGTGCGGCGTAAATCTAAACTCACTCACTCACTGTTCTGCCTTTTAGGATCGATTATTCTCTGGCGTTGACGTTTCATATGATTAAATACATGCTTGAACAACCAGTGAGTAATTGTATGTCGTTTTAGCAATATTCCAGCAACATCACGGTGGGGAATACACATTGTACCAATGCAGTGAATCGAACCCGGGTCTTCGGTGTGGCAAGCGAATGCTTTACCCACTAGCCTACCCCACCAACCCTTGCAATTGTAATTGGCACCTGTTAGTGTACCACATATATAGTTATGGAGCACCCCCGAGCAATATGCATCTGATTCTGATATTTTCATCTCACATGGCTGGTCCTCTGTAGGTGGCACACACACACCAGGTACAAAAAAATAAACAGTCCGTTTGAGTCAGAAACGGACCGATGAATTGCAAATTTTATCATTGTACAAAATTGCCACATAAATATAAATAGTACACATGTTTATCATTTACTAATACCCAACAGCTTTCTTATATTTGAAAATTTTCCGGACTCCACCAAAAAAGTTCTTTAAGAAACTATCATTCAAATTTTGACACAGTTCACTATTTGTTACGAGGGAGGAGTGCAGAGAAAGGGACAGCCAGGTGTGCGAGAAAGGATGGAGACGGCACAGCACAGGCTAATGAATCAATAACTTGGTGGGCACTTGTGCACGTGCTTCTCTAACACCTGGCTGGCCCTTTCTCTGCACTCCTCCTTTTCAAATATAAGAAAGCTGTTGGGTATTAGTAAATGATAAACATGTGTACTATTTATATTTATGTGGCAATTATGTACAATGATAAAATGTGCAATTCATCGGTCCGTTTCTGACTCAAACGGACTGTTCCTCTGTTAACGCGCCTTGGGCCTGACGAGAGAAGCTTTAACCACTAATCTGGCCCTTTGAACTAAATAACCCTACTTTCAAGTAAACCCACCGACGAAGTCTACGTCTGGTATCAACTTATCTCCAATGGCATGTCAGTATACCATTGTGCGTTTGGACATAAAATCAATGAAATAGCAGTCAATGCGTAAGGACAATCTTTTCATAATATGCTATACTACTCAACAGACTTAAAGAACATCTGATTAACTGTGGTCACATGCACGAATAGAGCATTGCTTTACTTCTTTTGATTAATATACAAGCGACTACAAGAACAATACTTCTCTCGTCCCTATGTTCAAAAGACGTGGAGAAGGTCGAAAAACAATTTATACTTTATAACAATTTTCTAAAAACTCTAAACTTCATTTCAATCAGATAATACACCTGTCGTTGTTAATGTATTATTTTATTCGATTTTGCGCCATGTGTTTTAGTCACATCACAGGTGGATTATAAAAGCTGTATTGATTTTTAGATTGAATGCATTTTCGGCTTTTGAGCGTTAAAACATTGCAAAAGATGTCTGTCCCTGAATACGAAACCCGAAGGACATCGTTAAGGATAACTCTACACGTTTCTTACATAAGTTTATCGATCATTTTGCTCGTACATGTACATCTGCAGATAATATAGTTAGATGTGTTTAACCGTCCAGATTGAATACCTTGACCGACCATGGGTCAAACTCGAACCTACGACCAGCAGATCAGACCAACGGCAACGTAGGCAACTCTGTACTGACCACAGGATATCAACGAATGGTCGAAAGATCCAGTTACATACAATGTCAGGCGGATATCCTTAACAAACGTCACAATTTATCCCAGTTATCATTCATGCGCTATCGCGACATTCATGAACAATTTCTCACCGTACTAAAATAATGTAACCAATCTTACCAGATACAACTCAGGTGAACGTCCATTAAACCTCCAGTCGCCGATCACCAGCCTGATGATTCCAAACGAGGTACATAGTGGCTTTGAGACAGATAACACGACTGACGGGGAGTACGGACAGTTATTGACTGCCCGGATTATACAGACACGCATCGGTTGCTTGGAGTATATAGACAAGTATTGACTGCCCGATATATACAGTACAATATTACCATCGTGGATATAAAAGTATTCATTCAGTATCTGGAAGGACTTCCAGCTGTTCACGGCATTGAGGCTGTAGAATAATGCAAAATCGTTACACCACGATGCCATGGTAACTCTAACATTCCAATAGGGCTAAAGTAAATTCTTTCTCCCCTTTCGGGTCAAGGAAAAGGGAATGTGTTGGCAATTTCGAATATTGTTTTCCGGGTTTACTACTAAATCTACAATGTATTACTGCTAAGTGCATAAGAAACTCAGAAAGGACGATACTATACGATAACGGCGATTTGAAAACACAGATGTTGTTGTATACTCTGTCGGTCAATGTTTAATAACATGTAGTTTCGATTTTCAGACATGTGGTTAACTCACATCACGTGATGTGAGGGCGCATCACGTGATCCAGTTGTGGAGAAAATGGCTTTCTCAACCTGCGACACAACCATAGAGAAACATTACTTTTGGGTGCAATGGTCGAGATAGGATACAGGTCACTATTTGTTTGGGTTGACAATGCAGTAAACCTGTTTTTTTTAACACTAAACAAATTAACGTTGTGGCCTTGAAAATGTTTTTCGTGGATTGAAAAGCTACGACATCAATATGATTCCGTTGTTGATATTAATCATCTGTTTACCGTTGATATGACATGAAACAACGATCGATCTTGTCGACTGGTGTCCGCTCGTCACGCCGAAGCCCCGGTTCGATTCCCCACAATGGTACAATGTGTGAAGCCCATTCCTGGTACTCCCCGCTGTGATATTGCTGCAATATTGCTAAAAGAGGTGTAAAACTAAACTCATGCACTCTTGTAGACTGACCGCCTCCCTGGTGTAGTGGTTAGAAAGTCGCGGGTTCGATCCCCGACCGCGTCATACCAAAAGACGTTAAAATATGGTACTTGTTGGTCCCTGCCTGGCGCTCGGCATTAATGGGTACAACAAGGACTGGTCGGCTTGGAGTCAGTATAATGTGTCTGAGTGGGGTATTCATGCTTCACTGCGGCATGGTATCTCAGTGGGCTAGCACTATAAAACCAGCTTCAGTCTGGGCTAGTACAAGCAGCCGCACATACACATACACACGCATGCACGTCGTCATATGAGCGAAATATTTTTAAGTACGTCATTAAAGCCCTTTTCACCTCTCCTCACCTCTTGTCTTATGATCACACTGATTCACATATGACGTATTCTGTGTTGATCACAGGTGAACTTTTGAGCATCTCCCGCATCTGTCTCCCTCCTAGACTTACACCTAGTCTATGAAATGAACATCTTTTACAGAAAAAGTCCAGAGTCTGGACTTGCCACATATTCTACACATGTACATGTATGGGCTTTCTTGGATATATTTGTTTCAGGGTCTGTATGACAGACCACATGTATCTCACCCCTTAGTGAGTGAGTTCAGTTTTACGCCACACTCAGCAATATTCCAACTATATGCAAATACATGTAAATAATCAAGTTTGGACCAGACAATCCAGTGATCAACAACATGGAGCACGGTGGTGTAGTGGTTAGCTTGCTGGCCTCTCACGCCAAAGGCCCGGGTTCGAATCCCGGTGGAGACACCACACTTTGTGACCTGGGTCTCATACTGTGTTGTGTCCCTGGGCAAGGCACTTCGTCCACATTGCACTCAGTCCACCCAGCTTTTTAAAATGGGTACCTGAGAAGCGGATGTACGGACCTATACGGTCGCGCTTAGTAGCAGCTTTGAAAGTACAATTCCGTCAGGGTAATAATGTAACGCCAGAGAGCAGCATCGTGTTGGATTCTAGGCGCAAAAAATAGCATTATTATTATCATTATTAACATGAGCATCGATCTACGCAACTGAGGTACGATAGTATGTCAACCAAGTCAGTGAACCTGACCACCGATCCCGTTAGTCGCCTCTTACGACAAGCATGGGTTACTGAAGATCAGTATTCTTACCCAGACCTTCACGGGTATCTTTTGGTATGACACGGGTATCTTTTGGTATGACGTGGCCGGGGATCGAACCCGCGACCTTCCGCTCTTTCGGGCGGACGCTCTAACCACTCTACCACGGATGCGATCTCACATCATTTTGGGAGTAATACATGAAGACAAAATACACCATCCTAATACCACACTGGATATTCAAACATCCGAAAAACGTGAAAACTAACAGAAATCGAGCAATGGGTTACTGAAGATCAATTCTAACCCGGATCTTCACGGGTATCTCACCTCAAGGGCAAACAGTGCTGCAGGGTGTATTGTAGACATTTTAATGTTCTAAATGGTATTACATGTAAGCTTGGTGAATTTCTGAATCCAGTATAGCAGCTGGATTCCCTGAGGACTAAACCCACCAGAGGCAGTACCATCAAGCACAGGCAAACTGTAGCGCAAACAGGGTTGCTCGCATATACGAAGACTGGTCATTTTCTCTTTGTTGCGCATCCCTGTTTGCGCTACAGCTTGCCTGTGCATCAAGCGAGAGGACAGGTGCTCATGCAGCTCAATGCGAGTCGTATGCCAGCAAGAGTTATGTCCCTTTAGTTAGGTATCCATGGCAGTTACACCACGTGACATGTCCCTTCTGATGGACAATTAAGAGTTAAGCATACACGCTAAAGTTACGAATACACGCATTCTTTTAGGAATCTCCACACATATTTTTGTGTAATATATAAATACAAATATTAAATTTTAATACCACACTGGATATTCAAACATCTCATAACAGGTGTGAAAACAGAAATCGAAAGATATTTCTACATAAGCATATTAAACTTTACACTATCCTCCTGGCATATCTACTATATTAACCAGGTTTCCTTGGATCTTCTGATTTTAAATTGAAATTATTAAGGGGTTAGCGCGGACGCAATCCCCCACACTAATAAATTACGCACTCGAGTCATCCCTCAAAGGCGTGATCGCAGGGGTCAGCCAAACCAAGGTGCAATGGAAAGGCCTCACCCTGGGAGAACCAATGCTGAGAACGGTCATCTCCCGTAACAGGTAAGTATGCCAGCTCACATTTTCAACACACTACTTCTTCTGGTAGGGGCTCTCACTAAGCTGAGGTGGCATCACGAATGTATCTCGGATTATTTAGAAACTACAGCCATTAACTTTACAGTTTGTCCAACAAGGAATTCTGTGACGGTAATCCTTCATATTCTGGTCGATATCATTCACTTCATTCCCTTCCATTTATCATACAGGTAGACAGTTTATCACCTTAACCTATCTTGGAGAAGGAAAATGTATATTACTGCAGACGTACACCATACGTCTCTCTACAAGTACATTATCTTACATCATACGTCTCTCTACAAGTACATTATCGTACATCATACGTCTCTCTACATGTACATTATCGTACATGTTTATTGTACGTTTTCCAAATTTTGAAACATCACATTCAAATGTTTTCTTATGTAACTCATACACACCAGATTTTGAAAAACGGCTAACTGTCACTGTATGTAATTTTATGAGTACTTCATAGCACTTCGAATGTCAAATACCTCCACAAGTACATTATCTTACATCATACGTACGGAAAACGTTTATTGTGCGTCTGTCGATTTTCATATACCACATTCAAAACTGTTAGCGTGAGTTCATACCTATTAGATTTTCATGAAGGGCTAATTTTAAATTTAGGCACTGCTATGAGTACTTGATAACACCTGAAATATCAAATACCACTAAACATGGAAGCAGTTTGTATTATTTTGAACTGGTTTAACGGAAATATCTCCAATAAAATGCTGAAACATTCATCCAGAAACACTCACTGTATAGCAGGAACAGCAGGACATATTTCAAAAATATTTTCAGCAGAGGTAAATGTAAACTCTTTTATTTAGTTTACAAGCGTTGGTGCTGACGCACACTCAGTACACATGTACTCAAATGTCCGTTAAAAGTACACCACATTGCATCATCAATACGATGCTACTCGCTCGATTTTCTCTTCCAGGTGCCAGGACTGGTTCCTCTTCATTACCTATTGCCAGGCTGGGAGTTGCATTTGTACAGCATACAGAATATCTTTAAAATCATTCAATTGAAAACGGACATACAGCATACGTTTCATTAAATGCACTAAATGTTGAAGTAATAAGCAAGAAGTAACGGTCACCGAGTAAATGTGAGTGAGTGAGTGAGTGAGTGAGTTTAGTTTTACGCCGCACTCAGCAATATTCCAGCTATATATGGCGGCGGTCTGTAAATAATCGAATCTGGACCAGACACTCCAGTTATCAATAGCATGAGCATCGACCTGCACAACTGGGAACCGATGACATGTGTCAACCAAGTCAGCGAGCCTGACCACCCGATCCCGTTAGTCGCCTCTTACGACAAGCATAGTCGCCTTTTGTGGCAAGCATGAGTTGCTGAAAACCTTCTCCACGGGTCTCGAGTAAATGTGAAATGAATTTAATATTAACTGATACTTATTATTAACGATTTGGCTTGGAAATGTAGCCTTATATTGCCGATGCCACGTACAATTTCAACCCACCCATTGTGTGTCGGGGTAAGTTATGAACACACAGACATTTAACACTACATACTGATCTACAGTCAGCTAATAGCAGCAGCAAGAGAGAAGGTATTGGTCACATGTTTCTTGATAGTTCAATTCTATTCTTCGGTTTGAGTTTTTCGGGGGTTAGCGCGGACGCAAACCCCACACTTATAAATTACGTACTCGAGTCACCCCTATTTGACGGTGATTGCAGGGGTCAGCCAAGCCAAGGTGCAATGGAAAGGCCTCACCCTGGGAGAACCGATGCTGAGAACGGCCACCTCCCGTACCAGGTAAGTATGCCAGCTCACATTTTCAACACACTACTTCTTCTAGTAGGGGCTCTCACTAAGCTGAGGTGGCATCACCAGTGTATCTCGGATTATTTAGAAACTACAGCCATTAACTTTACAGTTTGTCCAACAAGGATTTCTGTGACGGTACTGCTTCATATTCTGGTCGATATCATTCACTTCATTTCCTTCCATTTATCAAACAATTAGACAGTTTATCACACTAACGTATCTTGGAGAAGGAAAATAATATTACTGCAGACGTACACCATACGTCTCTCTACAAGTACATTATCTTACATCATACGTATGGGAAACGTTTATTGTGCGTCTGTCGATTTTCATATACAAATGTATCACATTCCAAACTGTTAGCCGTTTATGAAAATCTAATAGGAATGAACTCACGCTAAGTTTAAATTGAGGCACTGCTATGAGTACTTGATAACACCTGAAATATCAAATACCACTAAACATGGAAGCAGTTTGTATTATTTTGAATTGGTTTAACGGAGTGAGCGAGTGAGTGAGTTAAAATTTATCGTCACATCGGCAATATTTCAGCCATATCGTGACGAGAACAATTAATTTTATACATAGTAATGAATAATAAATGGTAAAAACCTGTCAACGAAGGACAGTAAAATAACTAGATTATCACAGATTCGAATTTAAAACTAGTAATTAAATCTAAAACAGTTTAAACATAGATGACAATACAAGGTAAAAACAGGCTATATACTGCCAACAACTGAAGGTAGATCACCATACTAAGGACCATGGGGACTTACAGTACATTTGCTTCCTGCATGGACCCTAGCTGGATTTACACCATCCCTTCAGCTATAAGCAATGTTAGATAATCCAGCCACAAATTAAACGAACATAAATTCTACGATTAAAACTGTAGGAGGTTTAAATTTACTTTGAATGTTTGGGGACTTACGTACCCTCTCAGGAGGACAATAATTTTACAGTACTTTAACCCCCTTTTAGGGTACAGCCATGGTTTAACGGAAATATCTCCAATAAAATGCTGAAACATTCATCCAGAAACACTGTATAGCATGATCAGTAAGACATTTTTCAAAAATATTTTCAACAGAGACAAATGTAACTCTTTCATTTAGTTTACAAGCGTTGGTGCTGACGCACACTCAGTACACCTGTACCCAAATTTCCGTTAAAAGTACACCACATTGCACTATCAATACAATGCTACTCGCTCGATTTTCTCTTCCAGTTGCCAGGACTGGTTCCTCTTCATTACCTTCTACCAGGCTGGGAGTTGCATTTGTACAGCATACAGAATATCTTTAAAAAACATTCAATTGAAAAGGGACATACAGTATACGTTTCATTAAATGCACTAAATGTTTAAATAATAAACAAGAAGTAATTGTCATCGAGTAAATGTGAAATGAATTTAAGATTAACTGATAATTATTCTTAAAGATTGGCTTGGAAATGTAGCCTTATATTGCCGATGCCACGTACAATTTCAACCCACCCATTGTGTGTCGGGGTAAGTTATGAACACACAGGCATTTAACAATACATACTGATCTACAGTAAGGTAACAACAATAGCAGCTTGAGAAACGACGGTTACCTCTTTCTTGTTACCACAATTCTATTCTTTGGTTTGAGTTTTTCAGGGGTTAGCGCGGACGCAAACCCCACACTTATAAATTACGTACTCGAGTCACCCCTATTTGGCGTGATCGCAGAGGTCAGCCAAACCAAGGTGCAATGGAAAGGCCTCACCCTGGGAGAACCGATGCTGAGAACGGCCACCTCCCGTACCAGGTAAGTATGCCAGCTCACATTTTCAACACACTACTTCTTCTAGTAGGGGCTCTCACTAAGCTGAGGTGGCATCACGAGTGTATCTCGGATTATTTAGAAACTGCAGCCGTTAACTTTACAAGTTTCCCAACAGGGATTTCTGTGAAAGTAATCGTTCAAGTTTTGGTCGATATCATTCACTTTATTCCTTTCCATTTATCATACAGGTAGACAGTTTATCACCCTAACCTATCTCGGGGAAGGAAAGTGTATATTACTGCAGACGTACACCATACGTCTCTCTACAAGTACATTATCTTACATCATACGTACGGAAAACGTTTATTGTGCGTCTGTCGATTTTCCTGTACCACTTTGAAAACTGTCAGCGTGAGTTCATACCTATTAGATGTTCATAAACGGCTAATTTCAAAATTAGGCACTGCTATGAGTACTTGATAACACACAATATCAAATTGTATCAAATACCACTAAACATGGAAGCAGTTTGTATTATTTTGAATTGGTTTAACGGAAATATCTCCAATAAAATGCTGAAACATTCATGCAGAAACACTGTATAGCATGAACAGCAAGACATATTTTTCCAAAATATTTTCAACAGAGGTAAATGTAAACTCTTTTATTTAGTTTACAAGCGTTGGTGCTGACGCACTCAGTACATCTGTACCCAAATTTCCCTTTAAAATGCACCACATTGCATTATCAATACGATGCTACTCGCTCGATTTTCTCTTCCAGGTGCCAAGACTGGTTCCTCTTCATTACCTATTGCCAGGCTGGGAGTTGCATTTGTACAGCATACAGAATATCTTTAAAATCATTCAATTGAAAAGGGACATACAGCATACGTTTCATTAAATGCACTAAATGTTGAAGTAATAAGCAAGAAGTAACGGTCACCGAGTAAATGTGAGGGAGTGAGTGAGTGAGTTTAAGTTTTTTTACGCCGCACTCAGCAATATTCCAGCTATATATGGCGGCGGTCTGTAAATAATCGAATCTGGACCAGACAATCCAGTTATCAATAGCATGAGCATCGACCTGCACAATTGGGAACCGATGACATGTGTCAACCAAGTCAGCGAGCCTGACCACCCGATCCCGTTAGTCGCCTCTTACGACAAGCATAGTCGCCTTTTGTGGCAAGCATGGGTTGCTGAAAACCTTTTCTCCACGGGTCTCGAGTAAATGTGAAATGAATTTAATATTAACTGATACTTATTATTAACGATTTGGCTTGGAAATATAGCTTTATATTGCCGATGCCACGTACAATTTCAACCCACCCATTGTGTGTCGGGGTAAGTTATGAACACACAGACATTTAACACTACATACTGATGTACAGTCAGCTAATAGCAGCAGCAAGAGAGAAGGTATTGGTCACATGTTTCTTGATAGTTCAATTCTATTCTTCGGTTTGAGTTTTTCGGGGGTTAGCGCGGACGCAAACCCCACACTTATAAATTACGTACTCGAATCACCCCTATTTGGCGGTGATCGCAGGGGTCAGCCAAGCCAAGGTGCAATGGAAAGGCCTCACCCTGGGAGAACCGATGCTGAGAACGGCCACCTCCCGTACCAGGTAAGTATGCCAGCTCACGTTTTCAACACACTACTTCTTCTAGTAGGGGCTCTCACTAAGCTGAGGTGGCATCACGAGTGTATCTCGGATTATTTAGAAACTACAGCCATTAACTTTACAGTTTGCCCCAACAAGGATTTCTGTGACGGTAATCCTTCATATTCTGGTCGATATCATTCACTTCATTTCCTTACATTTATCAAACAATTAGACAGTTTATCACACTAACGTATCTTGGAGAAGGAAAATAATATTACTGCAGACGTACACCATACGTCTCTCTACAAGTACACTATCTTACATCATACGTATGGGAAACGTTTATTGTGCGTCTGTCGATTTTCATATACAAATGTATCACATTCCAAACTGTTAGCCGTTTATGAAAATCTAATAGGAATGAACTCACGCTAAGTTTAAATTGAGGCACTGCTATGAGTACTTGATAACACCTGAAATATCAAATACCACTAAACATGGAAGCAGTTTGTATTATTTTGAATTGGTTTAACGGAGTGAGCGAGTGAGTGAGTTAAAATTTATCGTCACATCGGCAATATTTCAGCCATATCGTGACGAGAACAATTAATTTTATACATAGTAATGAATAATAAATGGTAAAAACCTGTCAACGAAGGACAGTAAAATAACTAGATTATCACAGATTCGAATTTAAAACTAGTAATTAAATCTAAAACAGTTTAAACATAGATGACAATACAAGGTAAAAACAGGCTATATACTGCCAACAACTGAAGGTAGATCACCATACTAAGGACCATGGGGACTTACAGTACATTTGCTTCCTGCATGGACCCTAGCTGGATTTACACCATCCCTTCAGCTATAAGCAATGTTAGATAATCCAGCCACAAATTAAACGAACATAAATTCTACGATTAAAACTGTAGGAGGTTTAAATTTACTTTGAATGTTTGGGGACTTACGTACCCTCTCAGGAGGACAATAATTTTACAGTACTTTAACCCCCTTTTAGAGTACAGCCATGGTTTAACGGAAATATCTCCAATAAAATGCTGAAACATTCATCCAGAAACACTGTATAGCAGGAACAGTAAGACATTTTTCAAAAATATTTTCAACAGAGGCAAATGTAACTCTTTCATTTAATTTACAAGCGTTGGTGCTGACGCACACTCAGTACACCTGTACCCAAATTTCCGTTAAAAGTACACCACATTGCACTATCAATACAATGCTACTCGCTCGATTTTCTCTTCCAGTTGCCAGGACTGGTTCCTCTTCATTACCTTCTACCAGGCTGGGAGTTGCATTTGTACAGCATACAGAATATCTTTAAAAAAACATTCAATTGAAAAGGGACATACAGTATACGTTTCATTAAATGCACTAAATGTTTAAATAATAAACAAGACGTAATTGTCATCGAGTAAATGTGAAATGAATTTAAGATTAACTGATAATTATTCTTAAAGATTGGCTTGGAAATGTAGCCTTATATTGCCGATGCCACGTACAATTTCAACCCACCCATTGTGTGTCGGGGTAAGTTATGAACACACAGGCATTTAACAATACATACTGATCTACAGTAAGGTAACAACAATAGCAGCTTGAGAAACGACGGTTACCTCTTTCTTGTTACCACAATTCTATTCTTTGGTTTGAGTTTTTTCAGGGGTTAGCGCGGACGCAAACCCCACACTTATAAATTACGTACTCGAGTCACCCCTATTTGGCGTGATCGCAGAGGTCAGCCAAACCAAGGTGCAATGGAAAGGCCTCACCCTGGGAGAACCGATGCTGAGAACGGCCACCTCCCGTACCAGGTAAGTATGCCAGCTCACATTTTCAACACACTACTTCTTCTAGTAGGGGCTCTCACTAAGCTGAGGTGGCATCACGAGTGTATCTCGGATTATTTAGAAACTGCAGCCATTAACTTTACAAGTTTCCCAACAGGGATTTCTGTGAAAGTAATCGTTCTTATTTTGGTCGATATCATTCACTTTATTCCTTTCCATTTATCATACAGGTAGACAGTTTATCACCCTAACCTATCTCGGGGAAGGAAAGAGTTTATTACTGCAGACGTACACCATACGTCTCTCTACAAGTACATTATCTTACATCATACGTACGGAAAACGTTTATTGTGCGTCTGTCGATTTTCCTGTACCACTTTGAAAACTGTCAGCGTGCTATCGCTTCATTACTACTTTACTGAAATATGTTTCATTGCACTGAATACTCTGACGTTTTGGCACACTGTCATCATAGAGGTGAATCCAATGACAAGCAATGCTAAAAAGTTGAGACTTACAAATTTAAAAGAATGGAAAAAAGAACAACAGGAATTGGTTGCATTATGTTAGACTGAAAACATCCCAGTAATTCACTAGCATATTACATACTACAGTAAAAGCAGTGCAACTTGAATTTGGTTTATGCAACTAGTTTTGTTGCAGGTTGCACCTGGTGCAAGTAGGTTATCATCTCTAAAATTGAGGCCTGTATTCTTTCCATGTTGCAGATGTTTCATCCTGATAAATCCAGATAAAGGTTCGAAAGGAAACAAAGGGAAAAGAAGAAACGTCAGATTGCAGCTAAAGTGTTAAGACTGGTGAACGACTTGGCTGATTTCGAGTGGATGGATGTATGATTGTGAGGACTTGTACGCATTCAAGTGTCTTGGCTAAGTTACCTGTCCATTCATCCATCATGTTTTGTTACTGACAAAACATGAAAAAGATGTGATGTTTCACTTCATGTTTAATGCAAGTTTCTTTTTGGAACAAATTTCTTGCTCCTGGCATATCTGAATTCCTAAATATATTGCTTCAATAATATTAAGTTGCAGATGTGACTTTTCTTTAGTATGGAAATGTATTAATCATGGTAACCTCATTCGTTAATATGAGTATTGACTCCAAGTGTTGACTCCAAGAGCAAGAGATATACATAAGCTGCTCACTTTTTTCCTTGTCTTTACAATTTCTTCTACTGTTTGATTTGGACAAAATGTTTTTGTGAAATCCTGAACATATGTTAAGCAACAGTTATGGGAAAATTCAGTTACACTGAATGTGATTTAAATCTTACATGATTGAACTGTTTCAATGAAAGGTGATCACAATAAAATGTTTTCTCTCTGTTGTTATGGGATTAATGTACCAGTGTCTTCGAGACTTGTCCTGTTCATAAATCTCTCAATCTGAAGATAAAAACTGGTATTTAACTGACATGGCTACATCACTGGCAGTATTAAATGATATGCTAACCAGATGGCTTTTTATTTGATCAAACTTTGAAGACTTTATCTAGTTATGTTATTAATGTCAACGTCATGAGGCTATAGGTGTAAATTGTTCCTGAGCTGTTTTGGTTCATTATTATTATTTTATAAAAAGAAACTGTCCCATGTATGTCAGTTCATGA